AATGGTGTATGCAATCACAGCCGCGGTGAAAGCAGCTGTTTCCATTCCCGTAGTGCCCAAACTCACACCAAACACCGACAATATTGCCGCCATCGCGCGCGCTGCCGTGAACGCCGGGGCTGATGCTCTGTGTGCGATCAACACGGTTGGACCGGGCTATTTCTCTGCTTATGGCAGTCCCGTGCTGAGCAACGAAATGGGCGGCATGTCTGGCAAAGGTGTGCTGCCAATCGCGCTGAAATGCGTTCGAGAAATTGTCAGGGAAGTGGATGTGCCGGTGATTGGTTGCGGTGGCCTGTCCAGTGCCATGGACGTCGAGGCGATGGCAGATGCCGGCGCGAGTATTTTTGGTGTGGGATCAGCCCTGGTCGGCATGACCTCGGAGCAGATCAGCGAATATTTTTCCGCGTTGGGCAAAGACCTGACCACCCGTGGCAAACGGGCGGAATCCCTGGTGCAATATGATGTTGATATGGACTTCACGCCGGTGACCCTGGTCAGCAACGAGAAAGTGACAGACGATATTTCGATTCTGACGTTTGACCATAAGATCAATGTGCAACCCGGTGAGTTCATATTCCTGTGGGTGCCTGGGGTGGGTGAGAAGCCGTTTTCAGCGTTAACCGACGACCCTTTTTCCCTGGTTGTGATTGACCTTGGCGAGTTCACCCATCATCTGATGGGTATGCAGCCAGGCGCTCAAGCCTATGTTCGCGGTCCACATGGCATACCTGCTCAGCCCCCGGAAGATGCGCAGATCATTGCGGTTGCCGGAGGCACAGGTCTGGCTGCGGTCTACCAGCTGGCTCGAGATTTTGGTAACGCAGATATCTTTGTCGGCGCAAGGAGTGCCGATCGGCTCTACTTCCAGGAGGCCTGCGCCCAGGCCGCCCGTCTGCATGTCGCCACAGACGACGGTAGCGAAGGCTATCACGGTCTCGTCACACAGTTGCTGGATAACCACCTGGCAGGCTTGAGCCGGCAGGAATTGGATAAGCTGGTGTTTTACAACTGTGGCCCGGAACCCATGGTGCATGCGGCGGTAGCTGTGCAGCAGAGATACTGCCGCGCTGATCAGATCTTCAGTGCCATCGACTATTTAACCAAATGTGGTGTCGGGATCTGCGGTGCCTGTGCGACGCCGGATGGCAGACGTTTATGTGTGGACGGCCCTTTTCTGAGTGTGGATGCCGCCGCTAGATAGACAGATCTTTCAGGTTGTAGTCTTTGATGACCCGCGCGTAGGTTTCCGGGTTGAAGCGAAGGCTGTCTTCGAAACCCTTGAGTGGTTGATAGTCATAACGGCGCTGATCAGGGTAGTGTTGCGCGCGGGCATCAATGGCCACGCCGATCACGCAAGCACGGTCGTGGATGCGTTGAGCATCGTAAACTTCTCTGCTGCTCTGGCTGAGTGCCCCGGTTGCACCCAGCACCGATGAGCGCCGGTGGAATCCGAAAGTCAGTGAAATCCGCGTGTTGTCAGAGCTGTTGGCAAACGATCCATGCAACAGCTGCCGGTTAACAACGGTGACATCTCCGGGCGCGCACGTCAGCGGCACCGCGCCAGGCAGTTGTTCTGAGCCGCCGTTGTCTGCAACCAGTTTTTTGATGTCGATTTTCCCAAGTTTGTGTGTCCCTGGCATCACCCACAAACAATTGTGTGGCGTGCACTCGTACAGCTGAACCTGAAAGTTAAAGCCGTGTATGCCTTCGTCCCAGTTATCAGCCTGCCAGTGTGTCACACCATCCTGGTGCCAGGAGACAGCGCCGCCTAAACCGGCCTGTTTGACAAAAATTGCATCGTTGTAAGGGACAAAGTCGTCGCCGTTGATCGCGGCGGCGATGCTTAGAAGGTCTGCATGGCCGTAAAGGCGGAGCCCTGCCGGCATGCTTTGACACATGCCAGATATCAGGTAAACGATCTCATCCGGCGCGTTGGACGCAGCCTGAGGTTCATTCATTTTTGTCGGGTGGCGACCATTGAGCAGGGTGGTGCCTCCCCAGGGGTCACTCAACGGTTTTGCGAAGGTATAGGTTGGTCGGGTAAATTCACTGCCAAACGCGGGTCTGCCCTGGGCATCGGTGTTGGCATGCTGTCCTGTGGGTGCTCGCGCCAATAGCACGTTGATGTCCTGCCGTAGCGCGTCGATTTCCTCATCAGCGACGACGTCGGTGAAGGTATAGAAACCGTGTTCCCAGTAGGCGCTCAGGATGTCGGGGTGGAGTTGATGGTTCGCAGCATAACGCACCGGCCCGCGGTTACCCAGGCTCGCGCCTAGTGAAACCCCGGCGGAGACATAGTCCGTTAGGCTTAGGTGGTGTGCAGCCGCGCTGAGTGGTTCTGCTGGCGCGGTGGCGTTTGTGTCTTTCCTGTTCACAGCTGGTTCTCTCCCGCGACTTTAATCCTGTTTTTACGCCTCGTGCCAGGTTACACCTTGAAGATTGAAGTTTTCAATCTCTGCCGGACTGTAGCCCAGCGACTTTAAGATCTGACTGTTATCTGCGCCGGCTATAGGGGCGCTACCTAACGATTGGGTTTTTCCGTCAAATTTGACCATGGGGCCGTGGCGGAAGTAGTCACCCCATTGCGGATGTTTTGCAGGGGCTATGAAGCCACAGGCGCTGACCTGATCGTCATTTAACCAGAATGTGTTTGGTGCATGTCCGCTTGCAGGCACGCAGGCCACCCCTGCTGGCACCAGCAGGGTTTGCCAGTACGCAGCGTTGTAGAGTTGGAACACGCTGCTCAGTTGCTGGGTAAGGCTGGCATGGTCAGCGTGCCAGTCAATATCTGCTGCTGATCCTATGCCTGCATTTTTCAGGGTGTTGGAAAAATTTGTTTTTTCCTTCTCGCTCAACAGGGCGAGGAATACCCATTGTCCTTCTGCACAGTTGTACAGGCGGTAAGTGGGTGTCAGACCGTGAAGTCCGGCATCGGGTTGCAGGCGCTCGGGTTTGCCGGGGTAGTCCAGAAAGTCATCTTGATTGGCGTACGCATTGGCGCCAAACATATCAATAAGAATCTGTTGTCCTTTGCCAGTGGACTGGCGCGCATAAAGCCCAAGCAGCACCGAGCTGGTGACCACCATCGCGGTGTTTGGATCTGGATTAACCTCGTTTGCCCGCATCAGTCGGCTTGTCCAGAGACGGATGTTATCGATGTCCTGCAGGGTGTCGGGCACATGTTCACCCATCTGGTACAGCACACCGCCCACAGCGGCGCCTGGAATCGGGTGCGTGCTGGGTCGCAGCGCGCTGGGTCCATCCGGCCCATAGCCGTTACATTGCAGAAAAATAAGACCCGGGTTGATCGCGCTGAGCGTGGCGTAGTCGATGCCCAGGCGCTCTGGTACGCCGGGACGATAGTTGTGGATGACGATATCTGCGTCAGCAACCAGCTGATGGACAATTTTCTGGCCTTCCGCTGATTTCATGTTGAGGCTGATGCTCTGTTTGCCCGGGTTGACCCGAGCAGAGCCGATACCGGACAGCATGCCCCTGAATGGATCTCCGCCAATCTGTTCCACCTTAATAACGGTGGCACCCATGTCCGCCAGGAACGAAGCACCCAACGGGGCGGCAATAATGGTAGCTATCTCCACAACTTTTAGACCGGTCAGAGGCAGGTGTGTGCCGCTGTTTTGTGCCGGTCCGGGGCGAGGCGAATTGATCCAGTGCGATACAAGTGTCTCGGCAGATGTTGTGCTGCTATTGCCGCCGGGCTGGGCAGGTGTCTCGGTCAGGCGTGCCAGAGGTCCTAACTGTCTATGGCCTTGTGCTGTTTCGATCACGTGTCCGTTTGCCACAATGTCAGGATCGCTGAGCGCCTCCTGGGTTGTCTGATAGATGCCTGCCACCACGCCGCCATCTTTGATCAGGTCGGCCATCCAGTCTTTAGATGTGCGCTCGGCGATCCGGGCCAGCATGCGGTTACGAAAAGCTTCGTGTTTGTCCTTGTCTGTGAGTAGCAGCTGCTTGGGATTGAAATCAGGGTCAGCGATAATGTCTATCAGATCAGTTGCGATCAGGAAGTTATCAAACAGGTGCGGTAACAGGTTGCCGAACTGCATCCAGCGACCATCGGCGGCCTGGGCCGGATGATAAAAAAGGCTGGGCATTGGCACATCTTCGGTAGGGGCTGCAAGCGCCGGCAGTAAATCCGGGAATCGCTCGCGGAATTGCCCGCCGAGCATGGGGCCTTGTTCGTAGGCCAGCATTCCCTGCAGCAGGCTGGTTTCAATGAGTTGGCCCCGGTGAGATTCCCGGCTGGCATAAAGGGCTGCGAGGATGCCGCTGACAGCAGCCTGAACACACGCATGGATACCTACCTGCAAAGCAGAGAATACCGGCCCCGGTCTGTCGACGATACCGGTGAACATCTGCATTCTGCCGCAGTAAGCGGCGACCGCGTGCTCGTAGCCTGGGCAATCAGCCATAGGTCCATCGCCGCCAAAGCCGGTGATGTGACAGAAATGCAGATGCGGGTATTGCTTGTTGAGCTGCTCTGGATGCAGTTTTCTGGCGCGCAGGCTGACGGGACGCCAGTTGCAGACCAGTACATCAGCGCTTGCCAGAAGTTGCTGCAGCTGCAGATGATCTTCTGTTGTGTTCAGGTCGAGTAGCAATGTGTGTTTGCCACGATGCCACATGTTGGCGCCGGGCAATTTTTCTATTTCTGGTGTTTGTGGTGGAGTGATGCGCACCACCTCAGCACCAAAGTCCGCCAGAATCATGCCCGCAAGACCTGTGGTGGGACCGCTGCCGAGTTCGATGATGCGTACACCCGCCAGCGCTGTAGGGGTGGCGCTGGGATGCTTTGTTTTACCGGTTGGCTCTGCCTGTACGTCATCAGTCATGGCATCTCAACTTTGAAAGTTATAAGCCTTACAGCGTAATTACTCAGCAGCCTCAACGCCAGCGCGTGTGAACTGCTGTTGTGGTGGGTACAGATGTTACACTCTGCGCCCAATGATCTTAACAACATCCGCTCACGCCGCATGATGCAAAATTTTTCTTCTGTTTTTCGTTCAATAATACTGGCCGCTGTTGTTTGCGGCCTGACTTTTACGCCGCGCGTCCACGCTGCTGCCTACACCCTGCCAGAGGATAACAACAGTCTTCTGGGTGCTGTAAAGCAGGTGCAGCTGGTTTATGAAGACACTTTTGCCATCATTGCGCGGCGAACGGGTGTTGGATTTTCTGGCCTGCAACGTGCCAATCCGGGTATCGATGAGTGGTTACCCGGTGCTGGTGTGTCGCTGGCGTTGCCGACTTCCATGCTTTTGCCGGCAACCCCCAGGCAAGGTGTTGTCATCAACCTTGCAGAGCTGCGCATGTACTTCTTTCCGGAGTCGGGACAGCAGGTGTTTGTTTATCCGATTGGTATTGGCAGCGAAGGGCGCGAAACCCCGGTCATGCAGACTTCAGTTGTTGGGAAAATTGAAAATCCAACCTGGTACCCACCACAGTCCGTGCGTGACCGACACGCGGCTGAAGGTGACATTCTACCGCGGGTAGTGCCGCCGGGGCCGGACAATCCGCTGGGTCCCTTTGCCATTCAGCTGGCCCGCTCGGGTTACTTCATCCACGGTACCAATGCCCCGATTGGTGTTGGGCAGCGGGTATCGTCGGGGTGTATCCGCATGTACAACAATCACGTGGCAAGTCTGGTTGCGACGCTGCCGAATCGCACGAGCGTCCGGGTGATTGATCAACCCTATAAAGCAGGGTGGCAGGGTGATGACTTATATCTGGAAGCACATCCGCCGTTGGAAGGCGCTTTAAACCATAGCCAGGCAGTGGCGGCGGTGATTAGTGCGACAAAGGCGCGTGATGCGGATGTCGACTGGGGCAGGGTAGTTGAGGTAGCACGCACAGGCAGTGGCCTGCCTGTACGTATTACACGCTAGCGGATTACTTTCCGCCGCAGCACTCGCTTTCCATGCGGCTCAAACGCTCCGCAGTTTCTGTCGCGGTATCCATCGCTTGACGCGCCATGCGCTGAGCATCGCTGATGTCAGACGCACTGCCAGATGCAGCTGAGCTTGCGTCTCGCGCCATTTCTAAGGCTTGATCTGCTGTGCTCGAGACACCGGAAAGTTGGTTCTCTAATGCCGTGAGGCGGTCAGCAGTTGCACTGGAAGCGCAGCCGGAAATCGCAAGAAGGGCAATAGAAATTAAAATAAGCTGTTTCATTTATGTAAGACCTCTGTCTATCAGGTGGAGGGGGGGATCATACGCTGAAGTTTATCCAGTCTGTAGGGTTTAATCATGCAAGATATTAAGTGTTTCTGCTTATGGACTATCTAACGGTACAAATTTAGGTTCTTTATTCTTTTGAAAGGTGGATGGAAGATATGAATGTTGCAGTAAAAGACACCGCGGCGGTGGTTGATGCGGGCTATTTTGATGTATTGGTGATCGGCGCCGGAATTTCAGGTATAGACGCCGCGCACTACATGCAAACTGAGTGTCCGGGGAAGTCTTTTACCTTACTTGAAACCCAGGAATCTTTTGGCGGTACCTGGCTGACGCATAAGTATCCGGGTATTCGCTCAGACAGCGATCTGTTCACCTTCGGTTACAAGTGGAAACCCTGGGTGGGCGCACCCATTGCAACGGCTGAAGAAATTCTCAAGTACCTTGATGAAGTGCTTGATGAAGAAGATATCCGACGTCATATCCAATACCGGATCAAGGTGACAGACGCGTCCTGGTCCAGTGAAACAAAGCTGTGGACGGTCTACGCAGATAACCTTGCCACCGGTGAGCGTTTGCGCTTTACCACGAACTTCATGTGGATGTGCCAGGGTTACTATCGTCACTCAAAGGGATATACACCCGAATGGGATGGCATGGATGACTATGAGGGGGTCATCGTTCATCCGCAGACCTGGCCTGAAGATCTGGATTACAAAGACAAACACGTGCTGGTGATTGGCTCCGGAGCAACCGCAGCGACGGTGGTGCCCGCGATGGCAGCGGACTGTAAACACATCACCATGCTGCAGCGCTCGCCAACCTTTTTCATTCCTGCGCCTAACCGCAATGAAACGGCTGAGATGTTACGTGAACTGGATGTGCCGGATGAGTGGACCCATGAGATTGTGCGGCGCAAGGTGCTCTTCGATCAGCAGGAGATCACCCGCCGCTCGTTCGAAGAACCTGAAGGCTTGCGCAGCGAATTAATTGGCGCGGCAAAAGAGTATTTAGGCGAAGACTTCGACATTGCTACCCACTTCACGCCCAGCTACCGCCCCTGGCAGCAGCGTATTGCGTTCCTGCCCGACGGTGATCTGTTCCAGGGTCTGCGGCAGGGTCAGGCGACGGTAGTGACTGACCAGATCGAGCGATTTACCAAAAATGGCGTGCTGCTGAAATCAGGTGATGAAATTTCTGCTGACATCATTGTCACAGCAACAGGCTTTAACCTGTGTGTGCTTGGTGATATCCATTTCACGGTTGATGATAAAGAAGTCGACTTTGCCGACACGGTGACTTATCGAGGCATGATGTTTACCGGTGTGCCTAATCTGGCCTGGGTGTTTGGATATTTCCGCGCCAGCTGGACCTTGCGTGCAGATCTGATCGCAGAGCTGGTCTGCCGGATGTTTAACAAGATGGATGCCCAGGGTGCGAAGGTAGTCACGCCGACCCTGCGACCTGAAGAGCACAACATGCCGCGCCTGCCCTGGATAGACCCGGATAATTTCAACCCAGGCTATCTGATGCGCAGTCTGCACGAGATGCCAAAACAGGGTGATCGCGATCCGTGGATTTTCACTCAGGATTACTGGAGTGAAAAGGATGAGTTTCCGGTTGCCGATCTGGACGATGGCACGCTGATATACACCTGATCAGGGCTTAGCCTGATCAGGGGTTCTCAAAAGCCAGCGGTCGTTCAGGCGCCGCTGGGCCTGCTTGGGTTGTCATCGCTGTCAGGAGCTGACTCGGCAGCTGCCTCAACAGCCTCCGTTGCATGCGGCTCATCTTCTAATGGTTGAACGTCGACTGTGGTGGCAGCCTCTGCTTCCGTTGTCACAGCGCCAGCACCAGCAGACCAGGGTGTCTCACCGGGCTCAACCTCCGGCCAGTCGCTGAAAGGAAACGGCAGGTCTTCGCTGTTAAAGGTTGCGAACTGCAGAATGTCGTACAGGTAGGCACTGAGATTGGCGCCAAAGGTCTGCAGAGAATCGTTTACCTTGCCGGTGACGAGGGCTGATAGAAATTGAAATACTGAAATGATGACTAACAGGGTTTCGCCAATGGAATACGCGATGACCAGAATGACCATGTACAGCGCGCGTACCCAGATACTCCGGTCAGCCAACCTGTTTTTAGTTTCCTGGTCCATAGTATGCCTCTATTGCTTGTAGAATGTGTTGTGTTACCCAGTTGATAGCAAGATTGATACCAGAAATTAATCATCAATAAAAACAAAGGCATAGCGATAATGGTGTTGACGCAGCACAGCGCAGGTTGGTTAATTTGACCAAGTGTTGAAGCAAATTTTATGTGTTCTGGAGAGATCCGGGCTTCTAAGCTATCAGGCTACTTTGATATAGTTAACTGAACACCAAATCACCAGCTCTAACTTTGGAGAGAACTATGAGTGCAGATCACGAGGCCCGTAAAGAACTCGGTTTTGACCCCGATGCCCTGCGTGAAAAATATCGCATTGAGCGGGATAAACGGCTGCGTGAAGACGGCAATGAACAGTATGTTGAGGTAAAAGGGCAATTCAGCCATTACGTTGAAGACCCCTATATTACGGACAGAATTCAGCGGGAGCCGCTGACCGATGAAGTCGACGTTGCGATCATTGGTGGTGGCTTTGGCGGTCTGCTGGCGGGTGTTCGATTGCGTCAGGCGGGTGTGGCAAACATTCGCATGATTGAAAAGGGTGATGAATTCGGCGGCACCTGGTACTGGAATCGTTATCCCGGTGCAGCATGTGATATTGAATCTTATGTGTATCTGCCTCTGCTGGAAGAAACCGGTTACATTCCGCCGAAAAAGTACGTTGAAGGCGCTGACATCATGGCTTACAGCCAGCAGATTGCTAAACAGTGGAATCTCTACGATGACGTCTGTTTTCAAACTGAAGTTCAGGAATTGCGCTGGGACGAAGCGGCACAGCGCTGGATCATCAAGACCAATCAGGGCGACGCGATGAAAGCGCGTTTTGTAATTTCATCCAATGGTCCTTTGAACCGTCCCAAGTTGCCTGGTATTGAAGGCATCGACAGCTATCAGGGTCATACCTTTCACACCAGTCGCTGGGATTATGCTTATACCGGCGGTGACGCACACGGCAACCTGACAGGTTTGAAAGACAAACGCGTGGGTATCATCGGCACGGGTGCCACCGCGGTGCAGTGTGTTCCGCACCTGGGTGCAGCGGCGAAAGAGCTGTTTGTTTTTCAGCGCACGCCTTCCTCTATCGATGAGCGCAATGACAAGCCAACAGACGAAGAATGGGTGAAAAGCCTGAAGCCGAACTGGCATCAGGAACGCATGGATAATTTCAACACGCTGGTTTCCGGTGGTGTGACGGATGAAGACCTGGTGAACGACGGTTGGACAGAAATCATTCGCAATCTGCTGTTGATGATTCGCAACGAAGACGAGCCGGATATGTCCATGGAAGCGATCATGGAAAAAATGGAGCTTGCAGATTTTCAGAAAATGGAATCTATCCGTTCCCGTGTTGAAGCGGTGATCGAAGATCCGGAAACTGCGGAACACCTGAAACCGTATTACCGGCAATTCTGTAAAAGACCCTGTTTTCATGATGACTACCTGCCGACCTTCAATCGGGAGAACGTGCATCTGATTGATACCGAAGGCAGAGGCATTGATCGCATCACACCAAAAGGTATTGTTGCCAACGGTGTGGAGTACGAGTTGGACTGCATTATTTTTGGAACGGGTTTTGAGGTGGGTACTGAATACACCCGTCGCTGCGGTTATGACACTTATGGGCGTGAGGGCAAAAGTCTGAGTCAGCACTGGGCAGATGGCGCGCGCACCTATCATGGCCTGCACAGCTCCGGCTTCCCTAACAGTTTTATGATGGGGACGTTGCAGACCGCATTCACCGCCAATTACCCCCATTCGCTGAATGAACAGGCAAAGCACATAGCCTACATCGTTAACCAGTGTATGGAAGGTAATCATCAGGTGGTTGAAGCTACAGCGGATGCTGAGCAGGAGTGGGTGGATACCATTATCTCGCTGGCGAGGATGAACGAGAAATTTCTCGCCGACTGCACACCAGGTTATTACAACAACGAAGGTAAGCCGACGGAGCGTTCTCAGCAGAACACGTCGTATGGCGCTGGCCCGGTTGCTTTCTTCAAGATGCTGGAAGACTGGCGCGCTGAAGGCATGATGAGTGGCTTACAACTCAAGTGACAGTCACTCAGCATGACTTGAATTGAAAAGTTCATGATACCCAGCCACGCTGACCTGTGGTTCCTGCCACTGGGTGGGTGTGGCGAGATAGGTATGAACATGAACCTGTACGGCCATGATGGACAATGGTTGATGGTCGACTGCGGGGTGACGTTTGCCAGGCCTGGAGCCATTGAGCCCCATGTGCAGATGGCTGATCCGGCATTTATTGCAGATCAGCAGGACAACCTGACTGGTTTGCTGATTACTCATGCCCATGAAGACCATATTGGTGCGGTTGCTCACCTGTGGCCGCAGCTGCGCTGTCCGGTTTACCTTACTGCATTCAGTGCTGCTATTCTGCGCCGTAAGCTGGCGGAACATAACCTGCTTGATGAAGTTCCCCTGCACGTTATTGCGCCGGGAAGTCATCTGCAGCTGGGTGAGTTCGACATTCAATGGCTGAACCTGACCCATTCCACACCACAGTCCCAGGCACTCTGGATACAAACCAAGGCCGGTTCGATACTGCACACCGGCGACTGGAAAATAGACCTCGATCCGGTGGTGGGGCCGCCCATCATCCCGGCTGAGTTTGCCGCGCTGGCAGACGAAGGTGTACTGGCGATGGTCTGTGATTCAACCAACGCTCTGAACCCTGGCCACTCCATCAGTGAAGGAGACCTGTTCGAAGGCTTGAAAACGTTGATAGCTGATGCGCCAGGAAGGGTGGTGGTCGGGTGTTTTGGCAGCAATATTGCGCGCCTGCATACACTTGTATCAGTGGCCTTCCATACCGGCCGCTATGCGGGTGTGTTGGGGCGCTCGTTAAACAATTATCTGCAGGCAGCACGCCAGGCGCGACTGTGGGATAAGTCGCTGTCTATTATTGACGCTTCACATCTGGGTTATCTGCCGCCAGAGGAAGTACTGGCGATTGCCACTGGCAGCCAGGGAGAGAGCGGTGCGGCACTGTCGAGGCTGGCTGCTGATACACATCCGGATCTGTCTTTGCAGTCAGGTGACACAGTTATTTTGAGTGCCCGTGTGATTCCCGGTAATGAAGTGGCTTTGTCAGCTTTGTTAGACCGTTTGCGCCAGCGTGGCGTTCATGTGGTGAGTGATGAGAGTCTTAACTTTCCTATTCATGCCTCTGGACACCCTTGTCAGGATGAGCTCACAGATATGTACAGCTGGGTGCAGCCAAAATTTGCGATACCAGTGCACGGTGAAGCGCAACATATGGCGGCTAATGCTGAGATCGCTCAGCGCAGCGGTGTGTCACGCAGTTTTACCGGTGAAAACGGCGATTTGTTTATGCTGGCGCCGGTGCCGGGGATGCGTCGGGGGTTTGCGGGGGTTGGTCGCCTGGGGTTTGACCGCGGGCGTCTAACAAAGATCTGATCTCATTGTGCCGCGCGCGGCTGAGTGTGATTTTGCGGGAAAAGAAATAAGGCACCAGTAGTGACAAGGCAATGAACGGTCCCATGACCAATCCCAGATTGAAGATGATGTCGGCATCTACAGTGCCAGGCGCTGCGCCTACCGGTAAACGAATCAGATCCACAACAACGCCACCGACAAGGCTGCCAAACCCGGTGACAAATTTAATCGAAAATCCCTGGGCGGCAAAAAACACACCTTCCTGGCGCTGATGAGTCAGGTATTCCTGTTCATCGGTGATGTCGGCAATGACTGAAGCTGAAATGGTCTGAAACCAGATCACCAGAGCCGAAGAGATCGCCACCTGGGTGGTGACGATAATGAAAATGGCGGTTGTGCCGTTCATGGGTAACCAGTCCAGCAGCCTGCCGGGGATCAGCCAGCAGGTGTTGATGACCAGGCCGATGATGCAGATGTTCAGGATGGTCTGCTTTTCAATTCTCTCATTGAGCCAGTTCATGGCAAACATCATGATGGCGATCGGCACAAGGACCAGCAGGGTCAGCAGCGCCAGTTGAGCGGTGGTGAACTCCCAGAAGTAAGTATTCACGTGGGTGGCTAGAGCGCCGTTTAAACCTGTCGCCACGCCCAGGGTCAACATGACAAAAAACAGATATTTGAAGTTGCTGTTTTTGAACGCCAGTCGCAGGTCGATACCAAGCTGTTTGAAACTGAATCGGTTGGTTATGTTGGGTTGTGGTAGGAAAGGGATACGGTTGCGCGTCACCACAATTGAAATGGTGGTAAAAACGGCGACCACCAGAAAGGAGATTCCACCCCAAAGGTAATAGTTGGCGTTAACCAGTCTGCCGTCGATGCCTGCGCTTGAGTCAAATACAAAAAACCAGGCTCCGGCAGTCATCAGGATTCCGGCCAGCCAACCGAACAGGGTGCGTGCGCCCGCTATTTTTGATCGCTCGATATAGTCGTTTGACAACTCAGCGCCTAAAGCCAGATAAGGTACTGTAAACAGAGTAATGAAGGTCCGAAGCGCAATACAGACAGTCAGCATCCAGAAGAAGATAGCCATCTGGCTCATACCCTCCGGGACGCTGAACAATAGAAAGAGACAGATGGCCAGGGGGATGCCGCTGACCGCCATCAATGGGTGCCGCCGACCCCAGCGACTGCGTAGATTATCCGAAAGAGAGCCTATGATCGGGTCGGTGACGGCGTCCCAGGCCAGGGCGATAAACAATACCGCCCCGGCAAGGGTGCCGCTGAGGCCGACAACGCTGACGTAATAGAACAGGACAAAGGATCCGAAAGCCACATCTTTAGTGGTGAACGACAGGGTTCCGGTTGCGTAACCCAGTCGTGTCCAACGAGTAATCCCTGGTGCCGCCATATAGCCATGACATCATTAATACTGATAGTCGACTATATCGAAAGCCGGGGGTTAAACCTATACGGCGTTTGCCAATTCTACCTCTGCTGGATTGCTTTTCAGCCATGCCAGCACAGTGTCGGCATCTGACACTTCAAAAGGATCGGTGGCGCAGTTGTCTTCAAAGCCCGGTTCGATGAACATCTGCTCAATGTCGCCGTTGTTCACAACCATGGCATAACGCCAGGATCTAGGTCCAAAGCCGAGGTTTTCTTTGTCTACCAGCATACCCATTTTACGGGTGAACTCACCATTACCGTCCGGCAGCATTTTGACGTGCTCGGCGCCGATGTGGCGTCCCCACTGGTACATGACAAATGCGTCGTTCACCGACAGGCAGTAAATTTCGTCTATGCCCTGGCCTTTGAACTCTTCATACAGCGCCTCGTAACGCGGCAGATGAGTGGTCGAACAGGTTGGCGTAAATGCGCCAGGTAGAGCCAGGACGACAATCCTTCGGTTCTCGAAGATCTCTTTGGAGGTAACCTCCTGCCAGCGAAACGGGTTGTCTGCAGCAATGGATTCGTCGCGTACGCGGGTCTTGAAGGTGGCGTTGGGTACATGGTTTTTTGATGCAAGGTACATAGTGCTTCTCAACTGTATTGATTTGAGAAGCACTATAGCGGCAGCAGAAAATAGTTCTAATTGATTGTTTTTATTTAAACGATAGGTTTTGACGATCGACCCGTTACGCTGATAGCCCGCCGTCGATAACCAGTTCTGTGCCTGTGATATACCTCGACTCGTCGCTGGCCAGAAATAACACCCCATTTGCGATATCCAGCGGATAACCGACCTCGCCAGTGGGTACCCCGAGTGTGGCCATGGCTTCAACGTCTACGGCGTTTTCTCCTTCCTCGAAATATTCAGGATTAACCTTGGTCCAGATGGGTGTATCGATGACCCCCGGGTGTACTGAATTCACCCGGATTGGCCAGCGGGATTGTGCGCACTCCAGAGCGACACCTTTGGTTAACAAGCGTACGCCGCCTTTGGTTGCGTTGTAGGCAGCCAGGTTCGCAGCGCCTTTCAGGCCGGCAACCGAAGACATGTTAATGATTGAGCCGCTACCCGCATCGCGCATAGCTGGGATAGCGTATTTTATGCCCAGAAAAACACCGTCAAGGTTAATAGCCTGCTGGCGCTGCCAGTCTTCGAGGGTCATGTCCACGATACTGCCGCCGATACCTATACCGGCGTTATTCACAAGTATGTTCAGGCCACCATGTCGGGCAACAGTTTGCTCAACAACATCCACCCAATCACTTTCGCTGGTGACATCATGTTTTATAAACTCAGCTTTGCCGCCGGCTTTAACGATGTTTGCGACGGTTTGTTCACCAAGGGTGGTATCAATGTCGGTAACCACAACGGTTGCGCCTTCAGCACTGAGACGCTCTGCACAGCCTCGGCCGATACCCGATGCCCCGCCTGTGATGATCGCAACTTTCCCTTCAATTCGCCCCATGATCTTCTCCCTCGATTTTTTGCTCTGCCAGCCGCTCAGTTTATGCCATTGATGCCAGGTTCTCTATCTGCGTTATGTGGTGCGTAAAACTGCTTCGACGAAGCAGGTGGTGCAGCCGCAGCCGTCTGCTGACCTTCCGTTGCAGGACTGATACGCACAATTCTGCCGCCGCTGGCGTGTTCCAGAAGCAGCAGAATATGGCCGTTGGGGTCTACTTCAATATCCCGTATCCGCGCCAGATCCCTGATCAGCATCTCCTGCTCAATCAGTTTGTTGTCCACTATTTTCAGCCGATAAACATCAGCTGCTTTGAGGGAGCCGACCAGGAACTGGTGTTTCCAGGCTGGGAAAGCAGCTGCTTCGTAGAGCACAAAACTTGAAACTGCGGGGGAGGGAGTCAGGTCCACCACGGGTTGATCAATATCTTTGAGCTCCAGCTCAATGCCCTGTTTCTTGCCCCAGCTGACCTGTGAGCCGTTGTAGTTCTGTCCTTTGGAAAACGCTGGCCACCCATAGTTGTGACCGGGCAGCAGCAGATTAACCTCGTCACCACCCCTGGGTCCATGCTCGGTTTCCCACAGTTTGCGTTCAATCGGGTCGAACTCAAGACCCTGGGGCGAACGATGACCGTAGCTCCAGATGGCTTTGTTGGCTGTTGGGTGGTCAATAAAAGGATTATCTGCAGGTATGCGTCCATCATCATGCAGGCGCAGAATTTTGCCGTGCGGCGCGCTCAGATCCTGAATCAGATCAATACTCTGCATGCCGATGCTGAGGAATACAAAACCATCCGGATCAAATGCTATTCTGCCACCAGCGGCCACGTCCGAGGCGGGTGAGTAGTAGGCCAGATCTGCTTTCCATATGATCTGTTCATCTACCCAGCGATTGTCTTCTATTCGCCCTCTGACAAGTGCATTCATAGACACGGGTCGCTGCATTTCCCGACTGATGTCATTACAGTTTTCGCAGCGATCGGTGTAGTGTAGATAAACCCAGCCGTTGTTCTCGTAGTCCGGGTGCAAAGCAACATCCAGCAACCAGCCCATACCATATTCCAAACCACCCCCGCCGGTGCGCGCATCGCCGTATGTTGCCGGTGTGCCGGTGATAAGCGGAGATAAACTGCCGTCGGTGGAGACGATGCGCAAACCGCGCATTTTTTCTGTTACCAGGATTTGTCCATCTGGCAGGGGTGCGATGGAAAACGGCAGTGGATCGATATGCTCTGCAACCGTGGTGATGACAAAGTTGTGATGTTCGCTGTGCTGCACAGCTGCCGGGATTTGCAGTTCGCTGTCTATTTTAAAGTCTGAATACAGCAACCCGCTGCGATTTTCAGATATCCACAATGCCAGACTTTTGATTTCCTGCAGCGTGAGTGTATCCCTCCAGGCAGGCATACCCTGTGTTGGAAAACCGTCGCTGATGCTTGTGATCAGCTGCTCGACGTTCTGGCCGTGTTTAAGCTCAACCCCAAGCAGAGGTGCCCCTTGAGCTGCACCTTCGAGTTTCTCTCCATGGCATACCGCACAATTGGCTGCGTATAAATCGCCAAACTCTGAGCCGGCCTGGGCGCTAAAACCGTGACTCGGGGTAAGTAGTCCCGTTAGTGCAGCCACCAATGATGCCACCCAGATCATTGGTATAGATACAACGTCTCTCATGATGTCTCCCCTTTCCTGGAAGAAGACTACCGCGTCTGGGCAGGTGTGCCAATCGCGGGCCTGCAGCAGGCTTTAGAGGTACTGCTTAAAAAAGGCGACTGTCTGGTTTACAGCCTGGGCGGTGAGTTCGGGTTCGTTGCTGAATAACCCCAGACCATGGTCAGCCTGCTCAACAACATAAGTCTTACGTGTTGAGGCCTGTATTGCCTGTTGATAGACAGCTTGCGGCACAGAGGGCTTCACCACCTGGTCCAGGCTGCCATACAACACGAACAGGTTGCCGCTGAACTGCTTGATGGCAGAGCTGGGTTGTGAGTTTTCAATATCGGTAAAAAACTGGTGCCCGAGAAGCTGTTGCTGCCCCCATGAGGTTGTGAATGGTACGGCGCCATCCTGCTCTGCTCGCCTTTTCATTTGCACATAGCCGGATTGGCCGCCAAACATCTCGACCAGTGAAACCGCGCCATCAGTGGCCGCGGGTGCCCACAAAGCCATGGATTTGACTGGCATCGCCTGACTGTACAGGAGAGCCAGGCGGCCACCCATGCTGAACCCCAGTGCGCCGATGCGACTCGAATCGATGGCCAGTTCTGTTTCAGCGTATTGATGTGCGGCGGCAATGTCCGCCAACATGTTAGATAAATTGTTTTGTGCAAAAGACTCTTTGCTGTCCCCGCAACCTGGAAAATCCATGCGTACGCTGGCAATGCCCTGTTGCGCGAGCGCCTGGGCGACCTGGGTGAAACCGCCTGCCTCGTGGCGCGTACCGCCATGACCGTGAATCAGGATAACCAGTGGCGCAGGCTGGTTGCCGCTGACAGGCTTTACCAGGGTGATGGGAATGCTTGTCTGTCGCGAATCGATCCACAGGTCGCGGCTCAATTGTGTCGGCTTTGTCGTCATGCAGCCGAAACTCAAGGCGTATCTGCTGCCTGTTGCTACATTTTCGAGCAGACAATCTTCACTGTTAGCGATCAGTTGGAATCTCGGTGGGGGTTCGATACTACGGCCGGTGGCGAGTTTTCCCTGAGGCGTATTGGCAAGCGCAGGTGCCAAAACGAGAATAGGACTTTTCTGAAAGACATTGGCGGATAACAAAGGCGCCGCGTTCAGCGCCAGATCCTTTTGGATCACGCTGCTGACCTCCTGGATCTGCTGGTCACTCAGCTGATCAACGTACGCGCCCTGGTAGGGCTCAGACTTTGCCTGACAGCCGGATACAAGAAGCGGCAAGCTCAGCAAGCACACACAGCGCAGTAACGAAATGCCCGGCAAAACGTTCATCTGGAGATGACCATACCCGGCATCTGGCCGCTTTTCTGCAGAGCCAAGCCGTCTGAACGCTGCAGGCTCGGTTGTTTAAAAGCGCTCTGGGCTGAGCGAATCGGTACCACACATTGCCCGGTAGCGATGTAATCCAGTGCGGTACTTAACCTGGCTTCAGTGGGGTCACCTAACGCGCGACTGTAGTCGTCCGCCACCTCGCAGGCTCGTACTTCCACGGTTTCAACCGGGTTTTCGCTGGGGATAAAGCCGTCTGCGTAGTCACCAAAACCCTGCGCATTGATGCCGCGGAATTGAATGGTGAAATAAGTGGTGCCGCAGTTGTCGGTGGGATAAAAGCCGTAGGGTTTGCCGCAGGTGGTTTCACCGATGAGGACTACTTCCACGTTAATCCCGCGCAGACCGTTGATGATAGCTTCACTGGCGGAGCAGGTATCCGCGCTGGACAGTATAAACACCCGATTCAGATTAATGCTCGGCAGGGGTGTCCCGGGCGACAGTGAAAAGCCCTGAGTCACTTCATGAAAGGCTGTGGGTGCCAGTGCCTGTCCAGTGACCGGATTGACCGTTGGGTACTTGTCGTTAAATTGAGTTTCGTCAAATACCCGTCCCGATGCCGCGGAAGGCCCGGCAATCATATAGCTGATCTGGTTAGCGATATCGAGAAAGCCGCCACCGTTGTAACGCAGATCAAGAATCAGATCGGTAATACCCGCGGTCGCAAAGTCTTCGATGGCGGCAACCAGGGCGGCTTCTGCAGGTGCTATATGGGTGGTGAACAACAGATAACCTACCGGACCGCTGCTGGTCTGGAACACGTCGGTGACCGGTACCGGGTTCTGTGTAATCGTTTCGGAGACCAGGTCAACATCACGGACGTTGCTGTCGTCAAAGTCTGAAATGCGCAGTCGTGTGCTGCTGCCGATGCTGCTGGGGAACAACCCTGCATTGAGCGCATCGACGCCATCCTGGGTGTTGTTGTTAATGGCATCTACGCCGTCTACCAGCAGGACTCTGGAGCCACGTGTGATGCCGGCCTGATCAGCGGGAGAATTCGGTTCAACCAATGCCACGACAATCTCTCTAGGCGGTGTTGCCCTGATCAGAATAAATTCAGCGCCATAGCCGGCGCTTTCACCGGATTGACTCAACGCTCTCCAGGCTTCGGTATCAAACGTGAAATGGAACTGATCTTTGCGCGCGCCTGATGGTGTGAGTGCATTGGTCTGCATCAGATCGAAGTAGGTGGGCGTATCGAAGGCTTCAGGGTCTGCGTCCACAATTTCGTCATACCAGAGATACAGGTCATGACTCCAGGCGCGCAGCCATTCATTTTCATCTGTTGCGTTGCCTTGTGCGTCGTTAAACCCGCCACTGTTACGCGGGTTAAGGCAGATGTTAGAAAAAAGTGCCGGGTCGTTGAAAATGCCGCGTTCAAAATCAGTTTGCGCGGTGGGTGGTGGCGGGGGAGGGTTGCCCCCTCCGCCATTGCCACCGCCGCCGCCCCCACCGCCACATGCGGTAAGGATCAGGGACGTGGACACAAGCAAAAAAACTTTAAACAACATATGAGCCTGCCGATTTTTGAATTTTAAGGCGCGAAGGGTTAAGTACGCCCTATCGCCTGTTCCGATAGCGTCAACGAGCGATCAATTCGATTGCGCATTTCTTCCAGATCAATACCTTCGGTACTTTTTTTGCCCTCGCAGTAGCGTGCATAAACACCATGCACAATCGCAGCGGTTTTCCAGCGATTAAAGGCCACGTAGTAATTCAATCGCGACAGGTCTCGACCGGTTTTTTCCGCATAACGGTCTGCCAGTTCAGTGCGGGTGGGAAATCCAGGTGGCGCGGTAGCGGCTTCCGGCACAATCGGTTCCGCATCGGTAGGGTCGGGCCATGCGTTCAAGGCGTAAGCCAGATCTGCTAACGGATCTCCCAAGGTTGATATTTCCCAGTCAACAACGGCTGCAACGGTATGTTCCGGACCAATCAGGACGTTATGCAGGCCATAATCGCCGTGTACCACCCGCGCCGGTCCCTGATCAGGCATATGGTCCAAAAAGTACTGTTGCAACTCGTGAGCACGTGGGTCGTCATAATCTGCAGGCTCCACCGATGACGTCCAGGATCGATACCAGGTTTTCAGCTGGCGCCCGACATAGTTTTCCTTCTTCCCCAGTTCGCCCAGGCCTACTTCATCCGGGTCGACGGCATGCAGGCGCGCCAGCACATCGATAAATGATATAGCCATTTTGCGGCGTTCTGATTCAGGTACCCACTGACGTGTATCATCTGAGGTATACAGTGGGTGACCATTGATGTGGCCCATCACGTAAAACCAGGCGCCGGTCACTTCCGGGTCTTCACAAAAACCGTAAGCAGCAGGCACCGGCACATCCGTTTGTCCCAGTGCTGAAATCAGAGCCCATTCCCGTGACATGTCGTGGGCTTTAGGCAGCAGTTGCCCCTGAGGCGGGCGCCGGATCACTGCGAGCGCACCTTCGCTGTCTTCCAGTTGATAGGTCAAGTTGGAATGCCCGCCTTCGAGGCGGGTCCATTTGAACGGCGGTTTCAGATCAGCTACGTGCTGGCTGATCCAGCTTTCCACTGCACTGACGTTGTAGCCTTCCGGCGTTGTGTCTGAATGTTTGTCAGTCATGGACAGCGCTACCAGAGATCATATTTTTGCAGTTCTGCGCGGCCAACCACCATGTGGTGCACCTCGTCAGGACCGTCAGCAAAACGCAGGTGGCGCATATCGGTATACAGGCCGGCCAGTGGCGTCCATTGCGACACACCTGCAGCACCGTGGATCTGTATCGCCTGGTCAATAATTTCGCAGACTTTTTCCGGCACCATCGCTTTCACCGCGCTGACGTAGACGCGGGCTTCTTTATTGCCCAATACATCCATCGCTTTGGCAGCCTGCAGAACGGATAACCGCATGGCGTTAATTTCGATGCGCGCGCGGGAAATCATTTCAATGTTCTTGCCCAGCTTGGCGATGGGTTTACCAAATGCGGTGCGGCTGCCAGCGCGTTTCACCAGCAGTTCCAGCGCCAGTTCTGCTTTGCCGATGGAGCGCATGCAATGGTGGATGCGTCCCGGCCCTAATCGCAGCTGAGAGATTTCAAAGCCACGACCTTCACCCAGCAGGATATTTTCTTTTGGCACCCGCACGTCGTTAAAACGCAGGTGCATGTGACCGCGGGGTGCATGGTCTTCCCCGAAGACTTCCATGCCACCGAGGATTTCAACTCCGGGGGTGTCGATGGGTACCAGAATTTGTGATTGCTGGCGGCTGGGCGCTGCGTCAGGGCTGGTTTTAACCATGGTGATCATGATCTTGCAGCGTGGGTCGCCAGCGCCGGAGATGTAATATTTTTCACCGTTGATGACCCACTCGTCACCGTCGAGGACCGCGCTGGTGCTGATATTTTTAGCATCAGAAGAAGGCAGCGCCGGCTCGGTCATGGCGTAGGCTGAGCGGATCTCACCGTCAAGCAGCGGTTGCAGCCACTGTTTTTTCTGCGCCTCAGTACCTACCCGTTCCAGCACCTCCATGTTGCCGGTGTCAGGCGCGCTGCAGTTTAAAGTCTCAGAAGCCAGGGGATACTTACCCAGTTCGGCTGCAATGTACGCGTAATCCAGGTTGTTCAGACCTTCACCCGTATCTGCATCAGGAAGGAAAAAATTCCACAAACCGGACTCTTTGGCTTTAGCTTTGGCGCCGTCCAGCAGTTCTAACTGGCGTGGGTGCCAGCTCCAGCGATCTTCCTTACCTTCGTTTAATGCCTGAAATTCATCAACGATGGGCAACACGTTATCGGTGATGTGTTTTTTCACTGCCGCCATTAATGGCTGAGCTTCTTCGGACATGGACAGTTCAAACAGGTCTGCTTCTAAATCTGACATCTTCTCCTCTTCTCCTCTTCTTTCTTCTGGATTGGTATATTGCTTTGATACCTGATCATAACCATTTTTATACCGTTCTGGGGAGACTCTGCCGTCCGTATTGCGACCTATAATTTACAAAATCTGTTTCTTGTCGAAGAAGGCGCATTGGACCCGAGCCTGCCCGTGAAAGGCCCTTTGACACCACAGAAGCGTTTGCGCCCCATGGCGAGAATGATTGCCCAGGTAAACGCAGATGTTTTGCTGGTGCAGGAAGTCGGCTCACAGCGTTCGCTGGCGCTTTTAAACGATGAGTTGCCGCAACCTTATGCGTACTGTGAAGTTGTGCCCGGCAACAGCACCCGCTCTATTCATCTGGGGGTCCTTTCACGTTATCCGGTTGCGCTGAAATCACACCGGCACCTGCGTCTGTTCGACGAGGCGGGCGCGCCGCTGCAGTTTTACCCGTCTGCGGATCATGCTGCCCTGCAGGATGCTCAACCGGTTGGCTTTTTTCGGGATCTGCTGCAGGTTGAAGTGCGGCCAGCAGAGCAGCCTGCGCTGACGCTGTTTGGTGTGCACCTCAAATCGAAGACGAATCCCCCCTGGCAACTGCATGGAGCTGGAGTCTACCGTACGGCAGAAGCACGCGCTGTGCGCCAGGTGGTTGAGCAATATTGCGCGCAACATCCAGCAACAGGTGTTGGCGTGGTGGGTGATTTAAACGACCTGCTCAGTAGTGACGCGCTGCAGCCATTGCGCGAACTGCCTCTGCAGGACGTTGTTGGCGCCCAGCTTCGGCAGGCAGGCCGCAACCCGTCTACGTATTGGCCCAAGCGGCGCATGCGCATAGACCATATTCTGCTGGATGCCACGCTGGCGGCTCGGTTGGTGCCGGATTCAGCGGTCATCCATGCCAACAATATGGCGCGTACAGCCTCTGATCATTATCCGGTGTCAGTCACCCTTGCTGGAGACATGTTTGTGTCCTTCGACCCGCAACGAAAGGTCTGAGCGAAGGCATATAACCTACACTTGTTTGCGTATCGCTATTTATTATTATCATTAGTTATTAAAACCCTTATAAATAGACCCTTAAAAGTAGTAGGGCAAAGGGTCATGGTCGACCGAAACAGCGATGTGAAAGAAATAGCAGCCGCTGGCATACAGGACACCGCAGCGTCGTTTCATGGTGAGAACAGCGCCGCGCAAATTGCCTGGGGTCGTTTTACCCAGGCTGAACAGATTGATCTGTGGAATCAGCGTTTCATCGATTTCAGTGCAACCGAGCGTGTTGCCTGGGCATTACAAACGCTACCCGGCGCGCCGGTGATGACGTCATCTTTTGGCGCGCAATCAGCTGTCAGCCTGCACATGCTGACGCAGATGAAAGCAGACATCCCTGTCATACTGATCGACACCGGATACCTGTTTCCGGAAACCTACGCCTTTGTCGACGAATTGACTGAACGCCTGAACCTGAACCTGCAGATATTTAAAGCCCACCGCAGTCCGGCCTGGCAGGAGGCGGCTGAAGGTCAGCGCTGGCTGCAGGGTGTTGAGGGTGTTGAGGCGTACAATCAGGAGAACAAAGTTGAACCCATGCAGCGTGCCCTGGCAGAGCTGAACGTGGGCACATGGTTTACAGGCGTACGCCGCAGTCAGGCGCAAAGTCGCGAGCAGACGCCGTTCATTGCCAATGACCACGGCTATTTCAAAGTAGCCCCGTTAGCGGACTGGTCCGATAAAGACGTATTCAATTATCTGCAGGCACATGATCTGCCTTACCACCCGCTCTGGGAAAAAGGCTATGTGTCGATTGGCGATGTGCATACAACCCGCGCGTTGCATGAAGTAGACAGCGAAGAAGAAACGCGTTTCTTCGGTCTGAAACGGGAGTGCGGCCTGCACGAAGTGCTTTAAGGCCTGCCTTCAGTGGATTGCGCCTTTGGTGCAAACGCCAGCAGCACATTGCCTGGCGCCTGCCCGAACATGCCGTAGCCGGAACTCACAAACACCATACCGTTAGCTGCAACGATAGAGGCGTTATCGATGGCGCCCCCATGACCTGTGACACCATTGACGCTTTTAAAGGCGCGCACGGTATCGTAATCCCACAGGATCTCACCGGTGTCTCCCGCAAAAATCCGCACGAATCCATCCAGACTGCCTTGAATCACAGCGCCATCCACAGCCAGCGTGGCACCTGAAAATCCATACAGGAATTCGCAATAAGGCATTTTTTCCTGGCGGCTGGCGCACGCAGGCTGCGTGCGGTAGCTCCACACGGATTCACCGCTATCTACATCGATGGCGTATAAACCTGGTTGAGGTTCAAAGCCGGGTCGCGGGCGGCCCGGATCAGCCAGGCCGGCAAATACGCGTTTGCCATCGTAGGCCATACCCCAGTGCACGCCGCCGTTGGCGGTGCCGCGGCCCTTGTTCCAATGCCATAACACGGCGCCTTTGTTGTCTGGATCCAGAGCCCAGACATCGCTGGATTTCTGTCCGGCGAGGAGCACGTCTTTACCATTACTCATCTGTGCAATGATGACTGAGGCGCCAAAATCCACATCCCGTTCGACGCTGGTCTCAGGCGGACAATTGGCCGAGCGGTTTTCTCGCCGGCAGCCTGCCAGGAATATATCGTTTGCCGTGGCCTGAAAAGCCCAGCGTATTTCGCCGGTTTTCAGATCCAAAGCCAGAATGGCATCCGTGTTCGGGTGGGCAGGTTCCGAGGTGGCTTCACCGGTGCCTACATAAAGCAGCCCGCGTTTCAAATCGATGGCGGGTGAGGTCCAAATGGGTGCGCCGGAAGGTCCCCATATCATCTGACCGTCACCGCGGTCGCGGATTGGTCTGGCATCAGGCATTGCATGGGTCAGCCATAAGGTGTCGCCGCTGGCTGCATCCAGGGCCGCAACCGCGCCATGAGAGCGACAGCACAGATGCGTGGACTGGGCGCCTACCATGATTTCAAACTGTGATATCGACGCATACACCACGCCGTCAACAAGCTGGGGAGTGCCGGTGATGATGGTTTCCGGAAACAGTTTCAGATCTTTACGCCACATGGCGGTACCTGTGCTGGCATTGAGCAGGTGAATGCGTCCGGCAGAGTCGCCAAATACAAGCGCGGGTGTTGTAGAGCCTGTCGCTTGTGCTGAAGGGTTGTTCACCTGGCCAAAGGTCAGGCTGGTCCGCAAAGGCATATCTGACTGGTAAACCCAGCGCACGCAGGGTTGGTCGCTGATGTCGATGGCGTACAGCTGCTGGCTGTCGACAGGTGTGAGGAACAAAGTGTTGCCCACGATTGCGGGTTGCGACCTCATCATGGTGATGTTCGGAAAAGACAGAGACCACTTCAGTTCCAGCCTCGACAGATCAGCGGTGCTTAGACCTGATTGTGCTGCACTTAAATACCGGTGGTTCTTTAACCCCAGCCCAAAGCCGCTGACGGTGGCTGTCTCGTTCAGCACCAGGGGTTGATCAGCGGATGCGCACATGTGCTGCGCTACCCACAGGTTATCGTCCCGGGTTTGTCCGGTAAAAAAGCCGATCAGATCCGTGCGCTCTTCGGGGGTGAGCATTTTGGCCTGTTCTTTCATGCGCCCATCAGTAATCGCGTGGGCGATCAGGGCGGGAATCATGCGCTGCAGAGTGGCAAAAGAACGCGAACGACTCTCTTCAGGATGATCGTGACAGACCGCGCAGTGTTTGTCGTAAACGGCTTTGCCGGGGTGTACTTGCGGAATTTCGGCTGCGTTAACACTTCGAGACGGGCCTGCCGCGCCAGCAACAACACCAGCGAATATCAGAATCATCCAACAGAATTTTTGCATTGATCTCCCCCTCTATGCATCTCCTTTATACCCGTTGGCGTGAATGTTGGGTAGAGTGCGCTGCCAAACCGGGCATCGAAAAGAGGTTGAATAGTGGGATGTAGGAGAAACCTGTGGGTCTGCGGATCTGCAGACGTTGACGTATTTGTTACACCAGGTGTAGAACGATAGACCGGCATTGGATCGGCCTGGTATTGGTCGTCGCTTGTTTTGCGCTCTGGCTCGCAGCTGACCTGGTGCAACTGTCGATGGCTCTGGATGGTGTTATTTACAGTGCCATCGCGCAGTTGTTTGCTCAGGGGCAGGGGAGCTTCTGGGTGCTGCCTCATTTCGAAGCGGGTGTTGGCGGTTTCTATGATCATCCGCCGTTGGGGTTGTGGCTGCTGACGTTCTGGGCGCAAATCTTCGGTGAGAGCTTCTGGGTTGAACGCAGTTTTCTATTGCTGCTCATCATCTTGTTCTGCTCAGGTGTGGGTGTGCTCTGGTTTTCGTGCCAGTCAGAACAACCAGGCAACTCTGGTGTAACGAGGCATCATCACATCTGGTGGGTGATGCTGCTTTTACTGTGCATGCCGGTGGTGAGGTTTACCTTAGTTAACAATCCTCTGGAAGTATTGTTAGCGGTTTTCACGTTATGGGCCGTGGTGTTTGCCTGGTTTGGCATGCAGCGACCCTGGCTGAATCTGATAACAGGGCTGTTGTGTTGTGCAGCTATTCTGACCAAAGGGCCTGTCGGCCTGTTCCCCCTTGTTGCGCCATTCCTGTTTGCCTGGTTTGTGTTGAAGAATCGCTGGACGGCGGTAAAAAACAGCCTGCTTGCTGCGGTACCCGGGCTGCTGCTGGCCGCGGCATTGTTTGTCTATGAGCCGTCGCGCCTGGCGATGCTGGCTTACCTCGATACGCAGCTCATAGGCACGTTTACCGGGTTGCGGGTGCCGGAGAACGGCCGCCTTTATCTGCTGGCCCAGTTTGCCAGCAACATTGCTGTTGCTGGTGCGGTTCTGTTGTTGTGCAGTCGTGGACGCTTCGATATCAAACTGCCGAGCATCTCGAAAGTGTACCTGTTGCTTGGTCTGTGTGCGTTTATTCCCCTGTTATTGAGTCCGCGACAGTACAAACACTATCTGCTGTCGTGTTTACCTTACTTTGCATTGGTTCTTGGGTTGATTGCACGTCCCGCCTGGCCTGCGGTGAAGGCGCGCTGGATGGTGGGTGCGATTGTATTTGTAGTGCTGCTGATTGCGCTGCGTGTGGTGGTGAGCTTTGGCCACATGGGCAAAGATGAGGTTGAACTGTCGGATGTGTCCGCAGTCTCGGAAATCGTTATGACACGGGAGCATGTGGTGTTGGCGTTCTGTGATATTGCTCTGCGCCGTCGTGCTTATCTGACGCGGTATACGCAGCTGCAGACCTATTTTGTCCCGCTACATCAGCTTGGCCGGTTGGAGCCAGGGGCTTTATACGTTTGTGCGGTTGATCCAGGGGACGGGTTTATGCAGTTAAAGCATCTTAATGAAGGTTTGCAGATCTGGCGACGCATCACAAGTTGATGCGCCACCAGCGAAGGTTGCTGCCGGCTTAGAAGCGGAAGCCGAGATGGATACCATAAACCCAGGGGTCGATCTCCACAGTACCAATACTGGCACCATTCACCTTTGCATCGGCTTCAATATCGATATAACGCACGTCTGCGTTAAGGAACATGCTTTCGGTAAGGTCGATGTCAACACCTATCTGGGCAGCCCATCCAAGAGAGTTGTCCAGCGACAGATCCGCGCCATCCAGATCTTCTTCGAAGAAAATGGTGTAGTTCAAACCTGCGCCAATGTAAGGGCGCACAGGTTGGTTGGGGGTAAAGTGATATTGCACGCTCAGTGTAGGCGGCAGGTGCTTGGTCTCACCGATGTTGCCGCCACCTCTGGCATCAATGTCGTGTTTGAACGGCAGTGCAGCCAGCAGTTCAACCGCCCACTGATCCGTCATGAAGTAAGTGCCGTTAAATGTCAGGGACGTTCCTGATTCAACGTCTACTGCCGGATGGTTATCTGATTTCGGGTCCACTATGGAGGCACCAACGCGAACCAGGAAGTCTCCAGCCTCAGCCCAGGCGCTGCTGCCATAAGCCAGTAATAGTGCAGTGAGTAATAATTTCTTCATGATCGAAAGACTCCTTGGAATATCCATGTGCAGTAAAAGTGCCGCCAATCTATTACACGTGAGAAAAGCGCGTTTGATCTGAATCAAATCTGCCGCTGATCCTGCCCCGGGGATTGTCGCAAAGGGCTAGGTAGTTTCCCTGGTATCGTAAGCTGACAAGCCACGCCACAGTTTCGTTGATGAGTGCAACAAATCTGATAGCGAACAACAACGTTCGCGAGCTTGCTCGATGTGAGCTCTGCCCCACACAGAAAGCCTGTCTGGCGCAATATGCAACCCTGTCGCAGCAACAGTGTCTGGCAGAATCACTGCATGTCGTGTCACCTCTGCAGGCGGGGGTATATCTGTATCGCGCAGGTGCACCAGTGTTGGGGCAATACCATATCCGTTCCGGCATGGTGAAGACTGTTGTGACCACCTCTTCAGGCGAGGAGTGTGTCACGGGGTTTTATCTTGCCGGCGACACGCTCGATTCTGGACGTTGCTCAGGTGTGCATAGTGAATCCGCGGTTGCTTTAGAAACAGTATCGTTATGTCGTCTGGATGCCCAGGCGATTGAACATCTTGGTAGACAGGGGCTGTCTGCCGCGATGTTCAACAACCAGGCGGAGCAGGCCCGCTTCGAAATCATGCATCAGGTCAACCTGCGTCAGACGTCCGCGGAGAAGCGCTTTGCAGGCTATTGTATGCAATATGGCATCCGCCGTGCCGAACTGGGTCTGGATGAGACTGTTTTGCCAATGCCAATGAGTCGCACAGATCTGGCCAGCTATCTTGGGATGAAGCTCGAAAGCCTGTCCAGGGTCATTTCGCGCCTGCAGTCGCGTGGGCTGATAGCTGCACGTCGGCATCAGGTAACGGTGCTGCAGCCAGCTGAACTGGCCGAGCTGGCAGACCATCTGCGCTATTGATTCAACTGTCCCCGACGGCTTTCCCATCAGGCTTGGCAACCCCTGCACGAAGCGATATGGTCCATGCTCTTGTGTAAAGAGTTCTGTTTATGTTGTTTAAAAGTGCCTCTGTGTCCATCGCAGAGTTTGAAGAAAAAAGTGGCTGGGCGTTCAAGCCCGAAGGCGCGTGCAAAGGTGACGTCTGCATTCCGCTGTCGGCTGATGTGCTTGCTGCGGATAATGCTGAAACTGTCGAGCTGGCGTCTATCACAGAGGCGCTGGGATTACCCATGCTGGTCGACGAAAACCATGGTTTATACGCGGTCGGACCGGAGTCCATTGGTGCTCGCGCGCTGGTCACTGCTGATGCGCCCAGCCTGGTGCTGCCGGATCTTGATGGTCAGCCGTTTGATCTGGCGAGCCTGCGTGGCCAGAAGGTAATGGTATACGCCTGGGCACCTTACTGAGGCTGCTCAAATGACCTGCCCGTGTGGCAGGCCCTGCGCGAAGAATTACATCAGCAAAATTTTGAACTGGTTACCGTTGGCCTGGATACACTGGGTGAACAAGGTTGCCGCGCTTACATTGAAGCCGCCGCGCCACAACATCCGGCGCTGATTGATCAGCACCATGTGCTGGCAGAGAAATTTGGTGTGATCAATATACCCAGTGCGATCTGGATCGATGAACAGGGGGTCATTGTGCGTCCCGCTGAGGCAGCGCCCGCGCCACCTCAACCTGAAACACAACAGGCGCCGCCACCAGCGGGTGATGCGCCAGCCATGCCTGAACGTTTTGTTGAGATGATGGGCGAAGCGGTAAAAATAAAATCTGATGCACAGGCGTATCACGCCGCGCTCCGGGATTGGGTGGAACATGGCGCCGAAAGTCGTTTTGCTTTGTCACCGGATGAAGTGGTCAGTCGATCCCGTCCCCGCAGTGCCGAGGTATCACTGGGTCATGCCCATTTCGAACTCGCCAGTGCTCTGGAACTGGCCGGAGCGCATGCTGAGGCGATACCCCACTTTCGTAAGGCGCATGAATTAGTTCCGGACAGCTGGACGTTTCGTCGTCAGGCCTGGTCGCTGGAAAAAAATCCCATACCCGGACCGATGCAGCGATTCTGGCAGGGACCTTCACCGGAGGCGCCTGAGAGCTGGCCCTATGAAGGGGATTGGTTAAGTGATGTGCGCAAAGTAGGTGCGGAGAACTACAGCGAACCGTTCAAACCCTGAATGTGTTGCTAGGGGTCGTCCTCTGGACGACCCAGTTTTGCATGTACGTAGGTGGTCAGCGCGGCAAGCGCGCTTTCCAGTTCGGCCACCCGCTGGGAAAGATCATCAGGTACAGGCGATACAGCCTTCGCAACTGCGACCGCTTGAGCGGGTACAGAGGTTGTTGACGTCAGCGGTGCATCGCCAAACAGGTGCTGGTATTCACTGTCTTTACGCCCTGGTGTTCTGGGCAGTTGCGCCACACACGCACCATTGTCCAGGTTCATTAATGCTTCCAGTTCCCTGACCACCTCAGCATTGTCTGCAAATTCGTATAAGCGGCCGCTATTGGTGCGCAGTTCTCCAGGCGTGCGCGGACCGCGCAGCAGCAGAACGGTAATGATGGCGTATTGTGGCGGTGTGAACTGATAGTCGCTGAAAGGCGTATTGCAGAACCGGTGGGTGTATTTCTCCACCTGGGTTTTAAAGTTCTCATCGCTGCGCAGCAGGTGTTTGTCCTGCAGGCCACGTACTGCGCGCTGAACCTCGCCGGGGTTCAACGTCATGATGGGTTGACGCGACGATTTCTGGTTACAGGCATTTACCAGCGCATTTAAGCTCAATGGATATTGGTCTGGTGTCAGAACTGCTTTTTCCAATAAGCAGCCTAGAACGCGTTGTTCGAAGCGATCCAGAATAACAGGCATATGGCGTGTCCGCGGTTTGGGGGTGTCTGTGCTGCAGAGTGAGAGATTCAGCGCTGCAGATGGCTGACCTCAGACGTGGATGTCATCGCGGTTGTGCGGCGCGCTGAAATCCAATGCCGGGCCTTTAGGCAGTATGCCGGGTTTACCCGCACCGTAGTAGATCCCTTTGATAGCGCTGACGTCTACAGTGTCGGCGACACCCGGAAGCTGATACAGATCTCTTGTGTACGGCCAGAGGTGTTCAAACTCACTCAATAGATTACGGTTGCATTTGAAACGGCTGTAGTAAGCCAGATCAAAACGCACCAGCGTCGAGAACAGGCGCCAGTCTGTTTCTGTGACGTCATCACCAAATAGATACCGGCGGGTTGCCAGGCGTTCATCCAGCTGATCTAACGTGTTGAACAGATTGTCATAGGCCTCATCATAAGCGCTCTGCGACTGGGCAAAACCGCATCGATAGACGCCGTTGTTCACGTCAGCGTAGATCACCTGATTAAGCGCTTCGATCTCTGCCCGCTGTGGTGCGGGGAAGTAGTCTGTCTGGGAGACGCCTTCAATGGCGTTAAAGGCTTCGTTGAACATGCGGATAATGTCAGCGGATTCGTTGTTCACGATGGTGTTGCTGTGAGTGTCCCACAAGACCGGAACCGTAACCCGCCCGGTGAACGCCGGATCAGCACGGCTGTACACTTCATGAAGGTGTGTGGTCTGTAGTAGTGGCTCGGGGGGATTGTCGAAGTGCCAGCCCTGATCACCCGCAGCGGCGGCGGTAGAGGATAAGCTAACGACATGTCCAAGGTTTTTTATCGCGCGGTATAAAATGGCCCGATAAGCCCAGGGGCAGCCGGGATTCACAAACAGATGGTAACGATCTTTGACCGCAGGAAAGCGTCCGTCAGGTGCACCGATCCAATGGCGAAAGGGGCTGTTGGGCCGCTCGAATTTACCATCAGCCTGGTGGCGGGGCAGGTCTTCAGCGTGCCATTGGCCCTGGATCAGCTGTCCCATGGATGTCCTCTCAGGCGGCCTCGAGGGACCGTTGGGTTAGCGATTGCAGATAGCTGACTAACGCTGCTTTGCTATCGCCCTGTCGTGTGCCACTGAAAAAGTGTGGTGATCGCTGGGCGCGATCGAACCAGATATTCTGCGCATCGCGTTGTTCAGGCTTGGTGAATGCCAGCCACAGGGCGGTGTCGGCACCGGCTTCAGGGTCTCGTAACAGCCGACTCAGGGCGGCATGAAATTCTGGCATCGCTGTTGCCACGCCAGGTGTGCTGACCCAGCCGGGATGCATGGTGTAGAAATTGATCATTTCGCCGTAAGTCTGGCGCCAATGTTCATTCAGCGCAACCTGGGCGCGTTTATGCCGAGCATAAGTCAGCGTGCCGTCGTAGGGGTGATCGCCCTGCAGGGCATTGATGTCCAGGGCGACGTTGTACATGCCGCCTGAGCTCATGTTGATGACCGTGCTGCCGCTCTTCAGCCCACCGAGGCTGATCAGCTGTTCGGTGAGGACATAGTGGCCCAGTACATTGGTAGCAAAACCTGTTTCGAGTCCTTCACTGGTTCGGGTCTGCTCGTTCAACATAAGCCCGACATTGTTCACCAGGACGTCAAAAACAATGCCGTTGTTTTCAAAATAGGTGGCCAGAGACCCAACGGACGCCATCAGCGACAGGTCGACGGTATGACTGATAATACTGCCGCGGGTTGAGGTTACCTCTGCTTCCAGCTGCTGCAATTTTTCTGTATTGCGTGCGACGACGTGAACGGTGGCGCCTGCGTTAGCAGCGCTCAGTGCCAGTTGTCGCCCGATACCTGTTGAAGCGCCAGTAATCAGCCAGGTCTGACCGCCAAAGTTGAAGGATCTGGTTGACCAGGTGAGCTTGCGTAAGCAGTAACCAACGCGGGTGAAGCTGGGCATGAACCAGGAGAAAAACAGAGCACCACGGGTAGCGTAAGACGGTGTCATAATTGACTCGACTTTTGGATAATCAGTAAGAATGCCCGTTTGTCGATCAAGGTGATGTGAATGGTGATTGCTGCTAAAACGCGCTGTGTTTCGCCAGTAGCTCTAAAAACGATTCGCCATATTGCGCAAGCTTGGCTTGGCCCACGCCGCTCACTTCGAGCAGTTGTTCCATGGTTTTAGGTCGCAGGGCAATCATCTCCAGGAGCGTGGCATCGTGGAAAACCATATAGGGTGGTATGTCCTGGCTTTCGGCAAGGCTGCGACGAACGGCTTTGAGGTCTTCCATCAGCTCTTCATCTTCCAGTTCCAGTTTGTAGCGCGCTGGTTTTCCGCGTGTCTTTACCGGCGTGGGATCTTCTCGTAAGGCCAGCGTTGTTTCTCCACGCAACAGTTCCCGGCTCGCGCCGACCAGTCGCAGCGCGCCATAACGGCTGTGATCCACCTGTAAATACCCGCGTACAACCAGCTGCCGAAAGACTGAGCGCCACTGCTGTTCCGACAGTGTTTTGCCAATGCCGAAGGTTGACAGATTGTGATGATCAAATTGTTTAACTTTGTCCCGCAACTGCCCGCGCAGGACATCGATAACGTGGCCGGCACCAAATCGCTGGCCGGTGCGGTAGACGCAGGACAGCGCTTTCTGTGCAATTTCAGTGGCTTCCCAGGTCACCGGTGGTGTCACACAGACATCACAGTTGTCACAGCGGGGTGCCGGTGTTTCGCCGAAATAGGTCAGTAAGCTGGCGCGGCGACAGCTGGTGACTTCACACCAGCCAAGCAACGCGTCGAGTTTGCTGCGCTCGACCCGTTTGTGGCTTTCGTCCGATGGAGATTCATCTACCATGCGCGATAATCGCACCACGTCCTGCAGACCGTACACCATCCATGCTTGTGCAGGCGCGCCATCACGCCCGGCGCGTCCGGTTTCCTGGTAATACGCCTCCATTGATTTAGGCAGATCCAGATGGGCGACAAAACGCACATCCGGTTTATCGATACCCATACCAAAGGCAATGGTCGCCACCATCACAACGTTGTCCTCCTTTAAAAAGCGGACCTGATGTAACTGTCGCTCTTCGGCGCTCAACCCGGCGTGATAGGGCAGAGCGTTGATGCCCTGTTGACTTAACCAGTGTGCGGTGTCGTTCACACTCTTGCGTGACAGGCAATAAACAATGCCGGCGCAGCCTTCGTAATCCTTGAGAAACGACATCAGCTGGGCTTTGGGGTTGACCTTGGGCTGTACCGAATAAAAGATGTTGGGGCGATCAAAGCCGCTGTTAAATATTTTTGGTTTCCGCAGCCGCAGTCGTGCGCAGATATCCTCTTGCGTGCGCGGGTCGGCGGTTGCCGTCAGCGCGAGCCGCGGGACGCCGGGAAATGCTGCCTGCAGAATATCCAGTGCCAGGTAATCTGCCCGGAAATCATGTCCCCAGGAAGATACGCAGTGCGCTTCATCAATGGCGATCAGATTAACCTGACAGGAACGCAGGGTTTCCAGCGTCGACGGTTGCAGCAATCGTTCCGGCGCAATGTACAGCAGTTTCAGATCGCCACTGCGGGCACGATCAATGACCGAGCGCTGTTCATCATAACTGAGCGTGGAGTTTAAATAGGCCGCCGATACGCCGGAGAGTGTGAGTGCCTGTACCTGATCCTGCATCAGCGCGATCAGTGGCGATACCACCAGCCCCAATCCAGGTTGGATCATCGCAGGTAACTGATAACACAGGGATTTGCCACCACCGGTGGGCATTAACACGAGGCTGTCGAGACCAGCGCAGGTATGCGCAATAATCTCCGCCTGCTGGCCGCGGAATGATGGATATCCAAAGGTATTCACCAGCGAACGATGGGCCTCGTCCATTATGCGCTGGTTTGGTTCAGGTGAATTTAATTCAGACACGGGTAATGTAGAAAGGCTTAGGCTGATTGAAATTGATTTTCGGGATAAACTGGTACTCCGTCAGAGGCGGACAATACCTTATCTTCAGGCAGGGAACGAACGTTATGGGCAATTTCATCAATCGGCGTGTTGTTATGGCCACAGTAGCAAGCGTATTGGCCGGAACCATGCTGGCGGGTTGCGCGAGTAATCAGTACGTGAAACGGGATGAATTTGATGCCACCGTCAGCGACCTGCGGGCAACAGACAGCACGCTGGCTGCCGATCTGCAGGGCTTTCGCAGCCAGTTCACAGAAATGACCCAGGATCTGCACGGTAAATTTTCCGGCTATGACGCCACCATCGCTAATCTGCAGGGCCGCCTGCGAGTCGAAATGAGCGCCCACTTTGCCTATGACGACGATACGTTACGCCCGGCAGACAAACCTGCGCTGGACGAGTTCAGTGAAGTGGTGCGGCAGTACGATCCCAATGTTGTGGTCACCGTTGAAGGTTTTACGGACCCAGCGGGGGACCCTGCATACAACCAGCAGCTGGGCCTGCGCCGCGCCGAAGCGGTACGGCAATACCTGATTACCAGTGGCGGGTTACACCCGGAACGTGTGCGAGCGGTGAGTTATGGCGAAGATAACCGGCGCATGTTGCAACCAGGGCAATGGGGTGATGCTGGTGCCGCAAACCGACGAGTGTCGTTGGTGGTTGACTATCTCGGCCTGGCACCCAGTGAAGTCAATACCGGCGGATAGACCTTAACCTGTCAACAGCCGGAAGGGCTGCAGATGTTCAGCTTTGTGCGCTCTGTAAACCGTCAGGTGTTGTTTCTATCGTAGCAATCGGCAGGTTCTCTACAAATTGCGCGATGTGTTCGAAGGCCTGTTTTGCCTCTGGTAAATCGGGTTCGAAAACGTGCCAGACGTGTACCATGTGATTCCAGGTTTCCAGTTTTACCCTCGAGCCCTGGGCGTTGGCTTTGTTGGCATAGCGTCTTGCATCCCCGAGTAACATCTCAGCTTCACTGGCTTGTATCAGCATAGGTGGCAGGCCGTGTAAATCATCATGTATGGGCGAAATGCGGGTGTCGGTCGGGTGTAACCGCGTGCTGAACCAGGAGAAAAACAACAACATCGCGCGTGGTAATTTCACCAGTTTACCCAGGGTTGGTCCGAGAAGCGGATCTGTCGCTGCATTTGTACGCATGGTCGGCGAGCCAAACGTGTTATCTGTGGCAGGCGCAATAGCGATGACTGCGTCAGCCATGCGCAGTTGGTTGTCACGCGCCCAGGCGGTGACGACCAGCGCCAGGTTGCCTCCCGCAGAGTCGCCGGAAACCAGGAACTGCGTGGCTGCACCACCTTGTTCAGGGCCGTTGTCGACAATGTAACGATACGCTGCCTGACAATCTGCCAGGCAATCCAGGCGGCTGTGTTCCGGCAGCATCCGGTAATCCACTGCAAATACGCTGACACCCAGTAAACGTGCGTACTTAGTGGTAATGGTGCGGTGGCTCAGCGGGCTGCCCAGCATAAAAGCGCCGCCGTGGATGTAGAGCAGGCGTTTTTTCGGGTCAGAATTTGCTGCCACAACCCACTCACCTTTAATGTTGGGCTTGTCCACGGCTGTCAGAGTGATGTCTTCAAGATCAGCCCTTTCACCAATGCTGTCCATGGCGGCACGCATTCGGCTCAGTCTGGAACCGCCACCAGATGCACCGAAACCCCTGCTCAAAGCCTGCAGTTGTTCAATGACGTCGCTGTGAGCCGGGCTGGCGCGGCGTTCGTGGTTTTGTGGGACGTTTATAGTCTGGTCGTATTGGGACAGGCTTGGGCCGCTCAGGTAAAAGCGGGATATACCCCAGCACAAGACAAAAAACAGGACAACAAACATGAACCACATAAAAAGACCTGCTGCGCGCTGGAATGGCGCGCTCTATAAAGTCATTGGAAAGGTGCTGTTACCGCTTGCTTAAACGCGCAGCGTACCGGCACTCTGATCAGTATGGCCGGTAACATCAAAAGACATGATGACCATATCCCGGGTTGTGCCATTTCGATCCTGAACATAATCCGCCAGCAACGCTTCAGGCACAAAACCGAGGTGGCGAAATGCAGCTTGCGCACCACGCTGATCAGATGTCATGTGTGCGGTGATTTTGCGTAGCCCCAATGCGCCTGACAGATCAAAAATGTTAGAAATCAACACACGACCCAGGCCGCGGCTGCGATATTCGGGACTGACATTCACCCGGATCTCTCCCATGTGCCGAGTCCAGGAGGTTGGATTACGGTGTACTGACGCGTAGCCAATCAGGCCATTGTCATCATAGGCAACGATGGACGAGGTGTGGCCGGTTGTCAGATTCTGCACCCAGGCGTCGACAACTGAATCCTCAGTGAGATCCAGACGTAGAAACATCAGATCTTCCTGGGGCAAAGCTCTTGCAAAGGCCAGTACGGCATCGCGATCGGCCGCGGTCATCTGGCGTAGTTCAATGGCTGCGCCATCGGGGAGCGTCACATTTTTAGGAAAGGCGTTATAAACAGCTTCGTTGGACATAGTTTCCTCTTCTTCAAGCCGACGATGATTGCAAACTGGCAGTGCGTTCTCGGGCTTTTTCCAATAATTTGTTAAATGTTTCTGCTGCGCTTTCGGCGATGCGATCAACGTCGGGTAACAGTCGAGGCTCGCTGATGAAACCAAAATACAGAGTTTTGTTGTAACTCATTATGGTGACGCTGAAGCCAACATTTCCGGTCAGAATCAGCAAGCCTATCTGATCAGTAACGAGATGGCCGCACAGATATTGAGGCACCTGCGCGCCGGGCACATTTGTACAGGTGAAGTTGTAGCCGATGTTTGGTGGCCTGAAGCCCTTGGGTAGCAATGGCATCGGAAAGCGCGCGGCAAATGCGGTAGGGTCGTATTGGGTTCCCACCAACTGAGATGGCCATAAAGCTAATGGCCACGGTTCAGGCGCATTTTCCTGTAGCAGCGTTAACGCCTGAGCTTCCTGATTCATTTTGATCCGATCAGTTTCTGCGGTGACCACTGCCAGGCGTTGATCCGCTGCCATGGGCCAGGCAGGCAAAACCGGGAAAATCGCGGAAACCTGATTGCCCAACGCGCCTTGCTGGCTTTCTGTGCGTACATTCACTGGACACATGATGCGCATGTATTGATCTTCGGTTTTTTCCTCGTGATCTTTCAGGTAGTTGGCAACGGCTTCTGAAACCAAAGTCAGAACAACATCATTAATAGTGCCGCCCAATGCACGACGGATCTCTCTGATCTCGCTAAAGGATTGCTTCATCCACGCCAGCCTGCGCCTGGGTCCAACAACACCGGCGTTGAACGGTGCTGTAACAACCGGCTTGGTAATAAAGTCAGACATGACTTTTGTGGCTCGCTGCATAAGATCAGTTTGATCACTGCTGGTGCGGAACACGCGGCTCCAATCTGTTTCCGCAAGGTCTTTCAGATTTTCGGACAGCGCACTGCTAAATAGTTCCCGGGCTCCCGGTGGCTGTTGCGGGTGCCAGCTCTCTTTGGGTGGTTTGACGGGATCGCCTTTGGCATCAAAATCGTAAATGATGGCCAGCAACTCGACACCAGATGCACCATCAATCATGCAGTGATGGGTTGCATGCAGCACCAACGTTTTGTCAGGTACTCCGGTAATGATGTAGGTCATCCACAATGGTTTGCTGCGATCGAGCATGGGTTCGTTGATAGAGACCGCTGCGTCTACAGCATCTTCCAGCGCAGTACCGGCTGGGAGCGGCGAATGAATCAGATGGTTGGCCAGATCAAAGTCAGGATCGTCCACCCATTCAGGGTGGGCAAGGTTGAGAGGTACCTGAGCAAGCTTACGTCGATACGCCGGCAGCAGATGCAGCCGATCGTTGAAGTGTTTAAAGACTTCTTCAAAAGCCAGTTCGCCTTCCAGAATATTGATGGAAGATATATGCATGGGGCCGCTGGCCGATTCCATGTATAGAAATGACGCGTCAGTTGTTGAAAGTCGCAAGTTCCCGCTCCACAGTGTCCGACGCTGACTATCGCGGTTTGTTCAGGTTTTGTCCAATATCTTGGCGGTTGGCGGACCGCTTCTTCGTTTCTAGCGGACCGCTTCTTCGTTTCTAGCGGACCGCTTCTTCGTTTCTAGCGGTACCGTACCTGTAGCGGTATGTGTTTGCCTGGATCGTAGCTGAGTTTTTCTGTGTAGGTTCTGCCGTCCCAGGTATACGTCACCTCATAAGTCCGCGCCTCGGCTTGGATATCTGCACACTGATGCTCAAAATCCCAGCGTAGTTGTGCCATTAATCCCTGGGCCTGTGGCGGTTTATCTGTGCTCGTGCATTGTGCGAGTGGGCGATACAGTGGCTTTACCTTGAGCACCTGAGCGTAAACGGTTTTCTCAACTATTGACGGGGTTGCGGCGTAAACTTTGCCCGCTGCAGGAGCCAGGGTGAGTAAGCCCAGTAGTAGAAGGGTAAGCCATTTAATGCGGACAGTGCCTGTCTGAATCACGGTAGCGCCCATCCCATATTACGTAGCATGACATGATCCTGCACGGTGAGGCCTGCATTGCCGACGTTCAGCACTACGGCATAACCCCTGGTTGGCTTGCGTGTTTTGACCACATCAACGGTGGCACCCTGGATGTCGGCATTCAGGTGCGCGGCCAGGCGGTCAGCTCGAACGCGCGAATCAAATATCACCAGGCTCTGATAACTTTTCGGTTGCAGCGCCTTCGGCACCAAACCCTTTTTTATGCGGCTTTGTTTGGTCAGTACTTTTGCAGCATAGCGTTTGGCGCCGTCAGGTAGGGTTTTGCTGCCACTTATGCGCGTTGGTCCATAGTTGTACGCGGCAAGCGCGCTTTGAATATCTTTGTCAAAAGCGTGCAGCAACTCGTTGAGATACTTTGCGCCCAGACTGATGTTGAGGCAGGGATTGTACAGTTCGCCCAGCCGCTTAACGCCAAGGTGTTTTGCGGTGCCGGGCCATTGGATCTGCATAATGCCATGTGCGTTGGCTTTAGATACGGCGTCTGCATCCCAGTTGCTTTCTGTCGCCGCTACCGCCAGCAACAGATCCAGTGGCACTTTGTGCATGGCCGCGGACACTTCGAAACAGGACTGGTAAGGATAACGCTGTGAAGCTTTGGCCAGCGCGACTTGCGAGATGCTGATACTAACGAGTATGCACACACACATAAGAAAGCTTGATATTGTGCGCCCTGATTTCATTTCCCCCCCGTGATCGTATTGATCTTCGCCGCCAGCGCCTGCGCCTGCTCTGCATTGGTGTAGCTGTATGACACCTGGTACTGAGCAGGTCCCAGTCTGGTCACCTCAAACGGGTGGTCGAGGCTGGTAGACAGGTAGTTGGCAAAACCGCTGGCGGATGCTTCGCTGTGGAACAGTGTCCATACGGGTTCACTCCCTTGCTCTGAGTGCTCTATTGGTGCCATGAGCTCAGCCGCTTCGATCTCCGCTGGAAAATCGGTTGTGGCTGAAGGCGTCTCCAGCACGTCTTCTTCAGGTGCCGTGGGTTTGTCGTCGTTGTCAGACACAAGTGTTTCGGTGGCACGGTGCTGGACAAGCTCTGGTATCTCCAGCGGAACGGGTTGTTCGGCAGGTTCAGCACCCTGCGCCTGTGTTAAAAACCATGCGCCTGTAAAAGTGACCGCCATGCCAAAGATCAGTCCCAGAATGAATTTCATCGGGCCTCCCTGACTTCACGTGAGGTGCCGTGCACATTCTGTAGATGCAGGCTCTGCCAATCGAAGTCGTCCTGGCTGGCCAGAGACCGTTCTGCTGAGGTAAGCCAGTTGCTGGCCTGAGCGTTGCCGCCCTGACAAGCGCCTGGCGCTGCGTGTATGGTCTTGCGCAATTGCCGAAATGCATTTTTATCCTGGGTTGCCACGGCATAGATCCCTGTTGGCAGTGGGCTGCGTCTGGGCAGGCTGATCTGATAACGCAGTTCACCGCTTTTCCTGATGCGGGTAACACCCTCACAACTGGCTGGTTTGAGCCGTCGGTTGTGGGTGCGAAACAGCATCACATATGCGTCTGCCTGCAGATCAAAAGTCACTTTCACGCAATCACGTTGTTTGTTGGTGCAGCTTCTGCTGGGTTTCCAGGACAATTTTCCTAACAGCGGCTGGGTGCCAGAAGTGGTGGGTTCTTCAGCAGTACCCGGGTATTCGGCAAGGGTTTCCTCTGCTGGTTTGCGGTCTGTTTGTTCTGGTGTGGTAGTTTCAGCTCTGCCGCCCTGAATGTAGCTGCTGGCAACTATTCGAGGCGTTGTCGGGTTGTCTGCAGGTGTGATCAGAATGACCCATTGGGGAGGCAACTGTTGGGATGCCTGTTCCTGGCGGAGTTCCATTATCCAGGTGGCTTCGCTTTGCCGGGTGGTGAAAATCCACTGCGGACGGGTGCTTAATTTCTGTTGTACTGAACGGCTGATGTTTGCAGCTGCCGCTTCCAATCCGGCGGAATGGTTGTTGCGCAGATGGATGAGCCCATCCACACCCGCAGGTAACGCGCATTGAATCTGCTGCAGCAGATGGCTGACGGTCTGCTGCTGCTGGTGTGATGTAAACGGAGCGGCTACAGAGCCGTTGGCAATATTGTCAGCCGGTCGTTTCAAAAGGGCTGTTTGTGAGCGAGACAGCTGACCCTGCCAGCGGTAACTTATGCCACTCACCCACACACCCAGAGCGTGATCCAGGACTTTGATCTGGACGGTGTATGCGTTGTTGTTTGCTGCGCTGATCGCGATTCCAACGATGTAGGCAGCGCTGTGGTCGGGACGCATGCAGTTATTGCTGCTGGTAGCAGAGACAATATTGTTGCCACCCGCAGACAGAATATTGTGCGACAGTACCTGTTCAATGTTCTGATAAAGCTGGTTTTTAACTGCGGTCAGCTGGTTGTGGTGCGCCGGCGCAAAGGCGACGTTTGAACCCTTGAATTTCGGGTGCCGGGCAAGTTTTTCTGCCAGCTGTGGCGCAGCCTCACTGTTCAGCCAACGGTTAAGATCAGTTGGCTGTGTGCTGCGCGCAGACCAGGCATTGCTGCAGGTCAGCAGCAGTAGAAGAATGCTAACCCGCTTCAACATGCAACACCTGTTCATATCGATCTATGTGAAGTTGCCCACTGACGTTGGCTTCAACGTAGCGGGAAATCTGTTTTTCTATTCTTGTGCTAAGCCCTACACCCCACTGCAGGCCTTCTATCTCCTGACGTTCTGCAGCGTCGATGACATGCGCCGGAATGGTGTGTCTGTCGATTTCATAAAGCTGCGCTGGCGCATCGGTTTTATGGAAAGAATAGGTATCCGATGTGGTCAGAAAGGACTGCCCGGTGTAGGCATACAAAGTAATACGACCTTTGCTGATCAACCGCATGAAGTCTGCTTCGCTGGCAAAAGCCAGGGTTAAACCCTCTGAGGTATCAGCTGGCGAAGATCGCTGCTCAGGCTCAGGCTCAGGCTCAGGCTCAGGCTCAGGCTCAGGCTCAGGCTCGGGCTCGGGCTCGGGCTGAGGTTCCGGCTTGGGTTCAGGTAAAGCGACCGCGGTTGTGTTCTGTGACTCAACAACAATCTCTATGGCAGGTTCAACCGCGGATGCTCTGACTGGCAGCGCTTCAACTCTGGCCATTTCTTCAGGTTCTATTTCGGCTACCTGAACGACGCTTTCTTTTGTAACCCTTGCTTCAACCCCCGGGCTGTTCCGCACCATCGCCAGGATGGCGATCAGGCAGAATGCGACGATAGCCATGAAACGCATCACATCCGCCTGCAGGCTGTCTTCCTCCATATGGGCCAGGCGTCGTCTCCTCACAGCTGTGCCCCGGGCATACGCGTGATGTTCTGGTTGACGGGTGGGCTGGGCTGAAGTTGCTGTTCTATGCGCTGTGTTGCGGCGACCAACTCGGCAATGTCGCGGCGTTCCAGCTGGTCGTAGTACTGTTGCAGCGAAGCCCCCAGGGTGATGGTTTTGCAAACCCGCATCAGATAACCACCCACCGCGCCGACGATAGTTGTGGTCAGCGCCAGCAGGATGCCGCCATCAACAAGTTTACGAAGGACGTTGTCAGCGCTGTCCGCCAATGCTGTGTCAGGCTCACCCAGGGCGTATTGCAGCGCCGCACGCATACCAACAGCTGTCCAGACCACGCCAATGCCGATAAACACCTGAGTCCAGACATCTAACATCTGATCCAACGCAGAGATGCGTGACGTATCGTCGGGCTCGTCCAGATTGCTACGAAGCTGCGCGGAGAGTTTTATCAGAGTGAAAATAAAGAGCACGGCAACCGCGGCGAATAACCAGATGGAATGTCCGAGATTGATCTGCAGCCAGTTACCCACCGAATCGATACCCGATGGTGAAAGGCGATCCTGGCCGTAAAGGGCAAGCCCGGTAAGACTAATGCCTACCCCCGTGCCATAGCAGAACTGCCGCAGACCGCCATCCATTTTATCGGCTGCCTGCCGCGTTTGTTGAGCCTGCCGCACAGGCGCGGCATGTGGCTTCGAGTACCAGGTCCGCCTCCTTGAGCAGGTGATCCGCACGATAGTAAGCCGCTTTATCGTCGCTGGCTTTCAACAGGCCTACCTGCTTGTCACGCAATTCGTTGCGCATGTTCGACATCACTTCCCCCTGCACGGGACAGGCCTGCGCGCAGGTATTGTAGTCGCCGCTGAGAGAGACAAACTTTACGTTGAAGTAGCGGTTGTAGTACTCGCGTGCCTGACGCTGACTGATGACGCCCATTTCATTGACGCGGACCAGGTGGTCACTGAAGCGTATTTTGTTTTCGCTGTCCGGATTCTGTTCAGCAAGCGACAACAGCTGCTGAAAATAGCTGTCGAACTGGTATTCGCAGCCGCTGGCCAGGCGCTGTTCAACCTCACCGATGGCTCGATCGAGGTTGCCGGGCAGTGCCATGGAGCAATGGCTGCTGACATTGGTGGTTGTGCAGCCGGCGGCGGCTGTAAGTGTTAAAAGTGCTAAAAGAGTTATACGTGTCATATCTTATTCTCCGACTACATTTCTAACGGGCTGACAAATTCTGTCTGACCAATTTCGTAAGGGGGGGAGGCTATAGGTGTGGCGTTAGAGGACTCTCCGAAGAGAATTTCTTTTACACCGCCCACAACTGCGGACATTTCCGGCGTGATCAGTCCAAATGACTGATTAAGCTGCTCCATCAGGGCTGCACGACCGATCTCCTGCTGTGTTGCAGCAATCAGCACTGAGGCCTCTTCCATGTCGAGGTAGATGTCTGCGGCAACCACCGCCAGAGATTTGCTGGGACCGTTTTTGTGGGTCGCCACGAGGTCGTAGTACTGTTTGAATCGATCAGATAAGCGCACTCCGGATCTGCCGCGTAATGCGGGTTGATCGGCGCGGCCGGTAGCCGTTTGCTGGCCCAGTAACTGTTCCTGCAGGGTGGTTGGGGTAGTGCGCTGCCCCAGTTCCTGGCGCAGTCTTTTTTCCAGGCTGCTGCGCGTATTGTTTACCGCGCGTTCCATTTCCGGCAGGCGTTCACCCATGGCGTTGAGCATTTCCAGGTAAGTTTCTCCCAGCTGCCTGGCCATGCGGGTACAACCCTGGTCGCCATCCGCGCCATCACACAGGCTTTCACTGTATAACTTCTGCTGCATATCGAGTCTGGCGATAATCTCCTGGAGATTGTTTTCCAGTTCGGCAGCGACACTGCTGGTCTCCCGTATGTCCTCCAGAACCGTGGTGGGGAAAAGTTTTATGACGGGTCCCGTTGGGGATGCCGAAGCTGCTCCGCAGCAGAGAATGCCCGTTAGAAATAGGCTGGCAAATAGGCGACTGTTCATTGGTGTCCTCCGATAATGATGTCTGACCTTAGAGCTGTCTTTCTGAATGTGTCCTGAACGACGGACTAATTCAGTGCAAAGTGGCAATTTCAACGGTAATCGGCATGCGATTGCCAGGTTTGGTCGCGGTTGTGCGCGTAAATACGCTGCCCTGGTAGCGCAGGGTGACTTCGTACCCGATGACTTGTTTGCGAACATTGGGCTTGTTTTCATAACGGCAGCGTTTGGCGCGTCGTTCTATAACCCTGCGTTCATAGCCGTTTCTGTTGTAGCGTTCTATTGATGGCAGTGTCTCCCAGGTGCAGCGTTTAACAGGTGTATAAACGGTTTCCTGCGAATAGATGGGTTTGCTGGCAATCACGTCTGCAAAGCTCGGGTAAGCCGTCGGCGGAGCAGCCGCAAAGGCTGAGCTGTGAGTCAGAATGGTTGCAGCAAGAATTAACAACCCAGCGTATTTGTACATGTCATAGCTCCGATCTTTATCGGAGCATGATATGAGCCGTTATCTAAACCTCAGCTGAATGGATCAGCGGATTCGATAACCTCAGGGGTAAACGTAGGAAGACGCTAAACCCAGGGGTATACCGAGCCACCAGTAAATGAGTAGAAAGATACTCCAACCGACCAGAAGTGCGGCCGAATAGGGCAGCATCATCGCGGTGACCGTGCCAATGCCGGTGTTTTTCACCCAGCGCTGGCAGTAAGCAACAACCAGAGGGAAGTACGGCATCAGCGGCGTAATGATGTTGGTTGACGAATCACCCACCCGATAGGCTGCCTGGGTCAGTTCGGGTGACAATCCAACCTGCATGAGAATCGGTATGAATATAGGGGCCAGCAGTGCCCACTTGCCTGATGCCGAACCGACTAACAAGTTAACAAATGCGGTTAAAAAAATGATACCCAGCAGAGTGACCGAGCCGGGTAATGCCAGCGCCTGCAGAACATCTGCACCCTGCACAGCCAACAGCGCACCCAGATTGGATTGGCTGAACGCGTAAGTGAATTGTGCGCAGAAAAATATCATGACCAGGTAGTACGCCATGGTGTTCATGCTGTTAGTCATGCCAGCGATGATGTCGCGATGGTTGCTGACCGTGCCGGCAACATACCCGTACACAGTGCCTGGAATGATAAACAGCAGAAATATCAGCGGTACGATGGACTGCATGATGGGTGCGGAAAATGCGGTGATATCGCCATTGGGTGCACGTAAGGGGGAATCTATCGGGTATGCCGCCCATACCAGCAGAACAATGCCGATGAACATGGCGGCACTGCCAGCCCAAAGACCGCGGCGCTCTCTGGGGGTTAACGGGTCCATGCGGGTCGCTTCCAGATCATCGCCGTCGATATCTGTGCCCTTCAGCCTGGGCTCAATGACTTTGTCGGTGAGAAACCAGCCAACAGCAATGACAAACAGGCAGGACACACTGGTGAACAGCCAGTTTGACAGTGGGTTGACCTCACGGCTGGGGTCAATGATCTGCGCGGCCTGTTGGGTAAAGCCCTGTAACAGCGGGTCGATGCCTGATGGTATGAAGTTGGCGCTGAAACCGCCGGATACGCCGGCAAATGCGCAGGCAATGCCCGCCAGGGGGTGACGCCCGGCCGCGTAGAAAATAATTCCGCCTAATGGAATCACTAACACATAGCCTGCATCCGCCGCGGTGTGGCTCACAATAGCCACCAGCAGCAACATAGGGGTCAGGAGTTTGGCCGGGGTAATGGAGAGCAAAGACTTCAGGCCGGCGTTAATGAAGCCGGTATGTTCGGCAACACCTACGCCTAGCATCGCAACCAGCACCACACCCAGCGGAGCAAAACTGGTAAAGGTTTTAACCATGGTGGCTAAAAATGTGGCCAGCGCACTACCGCTGAGCTGATTCTCTACATTCAGTTCGCGTGCACCATCCAGGGCAGGTACAGAAAAACCATAACCCGCAAACAACCAGGACAGCAGCCACACCAGGAGCATAGCCATAAGGAACAGCATCGCCGGATCCGGCAGGCGATTGCCAAGCCGCTCGACAGCGCCGAGGAATCTGAAGACCAGGGTATTGTTTGAGTCTTTGTTAACGTCGCTCATGCGAACCTGCCAGAGGAAAAAGCAGGTCGCAGGTTAACCGATGTGGATAAAGATGTTTACCTGTGTCAGACCCGGATTGTCAGTACGTCAGATGTTGCACCGTGTAACACAGCATTGGCGGTAGATCCCAGCAGCAAGCCAAGGCCGTGTTTGCCGTGTGAGCCCATAACAATCAGGTCTGCGCCAAGCTGTTCAGCGGTTTGTTTGATCTCTGTTGCCGGTACGCCGAACTGGACGTGGCGATCAGTGCTTTCGACAGCAAATTTAGTGCACAGCTCGCCAAGTGATTTCTCCACACTGGCACGCGCTTCACCTTCAAAATTCATCGCCGCTGCAGCCAGACCAGCCACTTCGATACCCGTATATGCCTGAGTCAGGGGTCGCACAATAGTCACAACACTGAGCTTTGCGCCGTGATCATCTGCGGCCTGTTTTGCACGCATTAATACGGTTTCTGCCTCTTCAGTGACATCTACGGCGGCGAGGATGTGTCTGTATCTAGTCATTGAGGTCTCCTGGGGGGGTGGGTCTTCCTTCAGTATCATCTTCAGGCACAAATAGGTAAACCCCTATGCGGACAAATGCATTGCGCACCGGAGCGCCAGCCACTACAGATTCAGGGATAGGCTGTTTTATTGGCGCCAGCTGCTTCAGGAAACTGGCGATATCGTCTAAGTCCTGATCACGCAGATATGCATAGTTGGGCCACGGCATCACCGTTGTGGCCTGTTTGCCGTAGTGATCCATACCGGTGAGTAGAAATGTTTTGATCTCATCTCTGCTCCAGCGACCCAGGCCTGTGTCTTTGTCAGCGGTCAGGTTGCCGGGGAAGACGATGCCCGGGCTGACATCGTCCAGATCTTTGGTGTAGGCGATGCCAATTCTTGAGCCGGCAAGCCACTGCCCGGTGGGGTTCCCCAGCAGCGCGCCTTCGGTGTGGCATCCGCCACAGCCGAGAATATTGGTCAGATACTCCCCACGTTCAACGGAGGTTTCTGCACTGGCACTGATCCAGACGAAACTGATAACCGCAAAGCCAACCAGCTGTGTTGCCAGTGTGCGAAATGAAGATAAGCCTTGAAAGAAGCGATTCTGTGTCACGTTGATGCCCTCATAATGGTCGCAGTGTATAACCCGACAGGGCAATTTACCCACCGTGGCATCTACGTAAGCGGATGTTATTGGCTCTTCCCGACCGGATTGTTGTCTGCAGATCACATCTGCAGCACAAAAGTGGCTACAAAACAGGTGGCTAAGCGGCTAAAGTTGATACAGGTCGCGCTGATCCATGCCCATTCGGGCTGTTTAAGCGCGCGGTCACCCAGTCAGCCAGGTAATCAGGCTATTAGGCATCTAGGTAAAGAGGTAGTCAGTGGGCGCAGCGGCAAAATTCGAAAATTATGACGAGTGGAAGACATTTGCACTGAACAAAGATCGTTTGTCTGGTGCTGAAAGCTGGCGCTCCCGAGATGAAAGCACGCTCTACGACTATCGTGTAATCCGCCGTCGGTACGATGAGTTGGCCGAAGTGCGCGCATCCGGGGACGTGCAGCGTCTGCTGTTTTACATGCATGAAGGCTTCCACGGCAACATGGCAGGCATGGGTTCGCCGGCTTTGTACACGCGTACTAAGTTTGGCACCAAAAATTTAATCACCCAATACATCGATGAGATGGTGTTGGCTCTGCAGGACCTGGAAGCTGTCCCCGATGACGAAATCAGCCTGAAGGAAAAGTTCGCGTTTTATAAGCGGGCGTCGGATTGTTTCGGCCGCACAGCTCTGATGCTCAGCGGGGCGGGTTCACTGGGGCCGTTCCATATCGGGGTTGTGAAAGCGTTAAACGAGCAGGGTCTGTTGCCTAACATTATCTCCGGTGCCAGCGCGGGCTCTATCTGTGCAGCGGTAGCGGGTACCCGGAATGACGCCAGCCTGGAGCAGATGCTCAATACCGATGAAATCATTAACTCCATGACGTCAGTCGGCGGTGAGCAGCGGGCTTCAAACCGCGTCAAACGTCAGGACGTGGTGGACATGCTGGAAGTTCTGATCCCGGACCTGACCTTTGAAGAGGCTTACGAAGAAACGGGTCGCTACATTAATGTGTCGGTGGCACCGGCTGCAGTGAACCAGCGCGCGCGGGTATTGAATGCCATTATTTCGCCAAACGCATGCATCCGTGAAGCGGTGCTGGCGTCTTGTGCCATTCCTGGTGTTTTCCCGGCCGTTACGTTGGCCGCCAAAACCCGAACGGGTGAGCGCAAACCTTATGTGGCGACGCGTAAGTGGGTTGATGGCTCGATTACCCACGATATGCCAGCGCGCAGATTGACGCGTTTATATGGTGTTAATCACTTCATCAGCAGTCAGACAAATCCGTTTGTGCTCTGGACGATGCAGGATCCAAATTCAACGTCGCTGTTTTCGCAGCTGTCGTCTGTGTATCAGAGTGCAATGCGAGACTGGTCCAAGGCGGTATATCCGTTCACCATGAATCTTGTCCGCAACGTATATCCGGCTAACATCATGACGCGCATGTGGTTTGGTTTGTTGACTCAGTCTTATACGGCAGATATCAATATTTCACCGACACAGCGGTTCGTGAACCCGGCGAAATTGTTGTCGGTGTTAACCCCTCAGGAGACCTTTGATCTGATACGGGCTGGCGAGGAGGCTACCTGGCCGAAGATTGAAATGATTCGCAACTGTACCGCTGTCAGCCGGCAGATTGATGCAACCCTGAAAGGCATTGAAGAGGCGATCGCGCCTGCCGCTTAGCAGGCGTGTGCACTGCCTGACAAGTATCTACTGTGAGGCAGTTTAGTACTCGGTGCTATAAACCCAGCACAGCTTTAGCGATAACGTTGCGCTGAATTTCGTTCGACCCACCATAGATTGATGCAGCCCGACCAAAGTTCAGATCCGCAACCGCACTGACAGCGTATTCTGGCCCGGGTGGTGGCTCATTGCTTTCGCCACGAATGAGTGCGATATCAAACGGCAGCGCATAATGAGCAACAGCCTCAACCCGCAGAGTCTGCAGGTCCTGTTGAATCTCAGTGCCCAGAATCTTCAGCATAGATGCAGCAGCACCCGGATTGCCGCCAGCTTCAACCTGCGCCACAACACGGCTTTCCGCCTGCTCCAGCGCGTGCAGTTTAATCTCCGCGGCGGCCAGGCGAGACATGAACTCGGAGCTATGCGCAAGGGGCGCGCCAGTGCTGTCGGACTCCTGTTGACTGATGTCTTTAAGTGCAGCCACAGCTCGTTTGGAGCGAGCAACCCCGGCAATACCACTGCGCTCATGGCCCAACAGGAATTTTGCGTAGGTCCAGCCTTTGTTTTCTTCGCCGATGAGGTTTTCCACCGGCACCCGCACGTCGGTAAAGTACACCTCGTTCAAGTGGTGCATGCCGTCGATGGACACAATCGGTTTGACCTCTAAGCCTGGTGTGCTCATATCGATGAGCAGAAAACTGATCCCCTGCTGAGGTTTGCAGTCCGGGTCGGTGCGGACCAGGGCAAATATCCAGTCTGCCTTGTGGGCGTTTGTGGTCCAGATTTTCTGACCGTTCACTACGTAGTGGTCGCCATCGCGCACCGCACTGGTTTTTAAAGATGCCAGATCTGAACCGCTGCCGGGCTCTGAATACCCCTGACACCACCACACAGAACCATCCAGGATGCCGGGCAGGTGTTGGGCCTGTTGCTCAGGTGTGCCGAACGTGTAGATGACTGGGCCAACCATGCCCAAGCCAAAAGGCATCAGCATCGGTGCGCCTGCCAGCGCGAGCTCTTCGGAGAACACATGTTGCTGCGTGGACGTCCAGCCCGTGCCGCCTTGTTCAACGGGCCAGTCCGGTGCGATCCAGCCTTTTTTGTACAACGCCTGATGCCAGGCTGTACCTTCTTTGCGACTGATGCCAAAACCCAGGGATGCTGCTTTGAGCAGGTCTGGTGTGAGTGCTTCAGCTAAAAACTGCCTTACTTCGCTGCGAAACGCTTCAATGTCTATCTCACTCATTGGATTTACCACTACCTTGGTCTGTGTAAGTAATCAGCGTAAAGGGTATCACCAACTGTAAATCGTCTCGATAGTCTGTCAGACCAGATCTGAGGGCCACTGATTTGAAATTTGTTTGCGATCCGGGTTGACGAAGAGGACAAGTCTGGATACGGTGTACTGGTGTATTACATATATATAACACCATGACGGACTGGGACGAACGCACGCCAATTTATCTGCAGCTACGGAGCATGGTTCTGCAACGCATCATCAGTGGATCGTTGGACGAAGGTGAGCCGGTACCGTCTGTACGACAGGTAGCGGCAGAAGAAAAGATCAATCCGCTGACCGTCTCCAAGGCGTATCAGATTCTGGTCGACGAAGGCCTGCTGGAAAAGCGTCGAGGCGTAGGCATGTATGTGAATACCGGCGCGCGCGCTGCAGCCCTGGCCCAGGAGCGTGAGGCTTTTCTCACTCAGGAGTGGCCGCAGATAAAACATCGTATTGAAATGCTTGGTTTGAATATTGAGCAATTATTGTTGGGAGATAAGTAATGTCTGTCATTTCTGCGCAGGGTTTGCGTAAAAAATTTGGCAACGTACATGCACTGGATGGTTTCGATCTGCAGGTTGAACCGGGCCGCATTGTCGGGTTGATCGGGCCAAATGGATCAGGCAAAACCACCGCGCTTAAATCGATTCTGGGTATGGCAGCTTTAGATGCAGGTCACCTGGATGTCCTGTCTTTTCAACCTAAAGCACAACGCGCGGCGCTGATGCAGCATGTGGCGTATATCGCGGACACGGGTATTCTGCCTCGCTGGATGCGGGTCAAAGATCTGCTTGAGTACGTAGATGCAGTGAACCCCAGCTTTGATATCGCGCGTGCTCGCGAAGCCCTGGCCAGAACCGACGTTCAGTTGGAGAAGAAGATCAAAGTGCTGTCTAAAGGCATGCACGTACAGCTGCATCTGGCCATAGTGCTGGCCATAGGTGCACAGCTGCTGGTACTGGATGAGCCAACCCTGGGGTTGGATATTCTTTACCGCCAACAGTTCTACGATGGCGTGCTGAACGACTATTTCAATGAACAGCGCAGTATCCTGATCACCACGCATGAGGTGCGTGAGGTGGAACATATTCTGACAGACGTGGTGTTTATACACCGCGGTAAAGCCTGTCTCAGCCTGGCCATGGATGATCTGCCCGATAAATTTTTCAAACTGACCAGCGCACCGAATCAGACCTTACCGCCGGGAGCGCTGCAGACGCGCCCAACTCTTGCGGGCACTGAATCTATCTACAACAACACGGGGAAAGCTGAGTTACAGCCATACGGAGAGGTCAGCACACCCAATCTGGCGGAATTGTTTGTGGCTGTAGTGGAGAGCCAACATGTCTAAGTTTATCGGTTTACTGATGCGCGAATGGCGTGAACATGCAAACGGTTTTCTATGGGCACCTGGCGCGATTTTAGGCGTTCTGCTGCTTGTGGGTCTATTCAGTCTGTTTGTTGACCCTCAGGTCGAGGCAGACATGAACAGTCTTGATCGACAGGAACTGGAGCAACGCATAGATGGACGGGATGCCAGCGAGTTAAGCGGGCTGGAAATGTTGGCAGCCATGACGCTGGATGCGGCGGGCAGCACAGACGCCGAGTTGCGGGAGAAAATTACCAGGGCGCTGTCGTCGGTAGCGGCGCCCTTTAATCTGGTGTTCTTCATTCTTGCGTTCTCTGTTCTGATTAACTGCCTGTACGACGAGCGTAAAGATCAATCCATCCTGTTCTGGAAATCCATGCCGGTCAGTGATGTCGAGACGGTGTTGAGTAAGTGGGTGTTTGTCAGCTGGGTGGCGCCGATAACAACCATTGCGGCGATCTGCCTGGCGCAGTTTTTTGCTGTTGCCTTTATTTCCGCGTTTGTTGAACAGGGCATGGCAGGGCGGATCTGGAGCGCCAGTCAGATCTGGCTGCGTCCGTTTGACCTCGTACTGCGCTTTGTTTTTCTAGGCTTATGGTTACTGCCCGTGGCTGGCTGGATTATGTTTGTCTCCTCCTGGGCCAAACGATTACCAACCTTGATTGCGCTGGGTGCACCCTGGGTTGTCACTCTTTTAGAAAGGTTGTTTTTTGGCAGCAATCATCTTTCACAGACGATGAGCCACCATCTTGCGCAGATGTATAACACCAGCTTGTCATCCGCGGTTGACCTGACCGCACCATTTTCGAGCTTTGCGCAATTGTCGTTCTGGCTCGGGTTGGTTTTGGGTGCCGGGTTGCTTGGCGCCGCTATTGTCTGTCGTCAGCGTATCAACGATGGCTAAGATTTAAGGCAGCTCAGCAACTCGCTGAGCTGGTCTGCTGGAAGATCGGGCACATGGAAGCTGGTTCGGCTGATGAGGTTGGCAAAACGGCTCTTCATCTGTGCCACGACGTCCTCTGGCGTGCCAACAATGCCAATGGTGTTCACCATCTCATCGCTGATCAACGCAGCCATTTCATTTGTGCGATGATGGCGGTTCAGGACAATCAGCTCATCCTGTAAATCACCCCAGCCGTGGATTTCAAGTACAGGTTTGTACGCCACCGTACAGCCATAAAAAGCGATGCGCCCGCGCAGTACGTTGACCGCTTTGTCGATGGCTTCTTCGCTGGTACCTGTGGCGATCATCGGCGCATAGTCCAGCACAAAGTCAGATAAATTTCTGCCACTGTTGTTCAGCCCGTTCTCAATTGCCGGTAAGGTGACTTCAGTCATATATTTTTCGGATGAGAACGGATGCATGATCATGCCATCAGCTATTTCTGCAGCTACCTGGGTCATCAATGGTCCGGTTGCTGACAGGACTATTTTAGGCCGCGGACCAGAAACGTTGTCGGGCGTGAACGTTGCTGGCATTAAATTGTGCTGATAGTACTCACCCTGATAGTCCAGACGTTTGCCGTCATACCAGCAGTCGTAGATTGCATTCATCGCTTCAATGAATTCACGCATTTGTGCGGCGGCTTTGTGCCAGGGCATGCTGAACCGCCGCTCGATATGAGGTTTTACCTGTGAGCCAATTCCGAGGATCAGGCGGCCGTTGGAGAAGCTGTTCAGATCATGGGCCAGCTGCGCCATAGTCATCGGGTTGCGTGAAAACGCAACAGCGACGGATGTCACCAGTTCAATCCGCTGAGTGTTCGCCGCCGCCAGGGTCAGCGGTAAAAACGGGTCATGATTGAGTTCCGCCAGGCGTATGCCGTCGTAGCCAAGCGACTCAAGCGCTGCAGCTTGAGCTGCAATTTTGTGCATGTCTGCGGTAACGGGAGCATCTATTTTCATTGCGCGGCGCTCTCTAATGCCTGATCTAACAAAGCCATGGCCTGCTCGGCGAAGTGCCACATATTTGCTTCGCGGTTATTGTGTCCGCTGATCACGGTGTGGGTTAATGTTACGGGGCCTGCCACTGCGAGTACGCAGGTGCCTGCTGGGTGGCCGTAAGGTGCGCCGGCAGGTCCGGCAACGCCCAGTTCCGCGATTGCCCAGGTGGTATCCAGTTGCCTGCGTGCATGTTCTGCAAAAGCCTGCACCATAGGTTCCGTTAGCGGTTCGAGTCCCTCTACATCCTGTTTACGGATCTGTAGCAGTTCTTTGCGCGATGCAAGGGTGTAGACCACGCTGCCACCGACGTAATAAGCGCTGGCTCCGGGTACCGCCAGTAATTTGGCTGAAATCAGCCCTGCGGTAGACGACTCTGCGACAGCAACGGTCTGGCCGGCTGATTTCAGCCGTTGACTAAGTCTGGTTACGGTTGGGGTGACAAGCACATGGACATCGCGATCCGCAGGGTTGGACATGACGTTTTGATTCAAAAAGTGATAGCTGTGAATATCCCATAATTCTGTTTGCTTTTGTATCGAGTTGTCAGGGGTGTGTTTTGGTCGCTTGACTTGTTGAGGTAAAACCCTCAGGGTGCACGCTGCCGATCTTAAGTAAGACTCAGCGGTCCTCGCTGACGTCAAAGGAAAAAAGAATTTTGAGTAACGATTTATTTCAGAAACTTGGCGTAAGCCAGAAGTTTCAGGCTGCCCTAGATGCAGCAGGTTTTGTCACCCCTTCGAAGATTCAGGATCAAGCCATTCCGGCTTTGATAGAAGGACGTGATGTATTGGGCATAGCGCAAACCGGCACCGGCAAAACAGCCGCTTTTGGTTTGCCTCTGCTACAACGGCTGGATGCGGGTAATAGCCCGGCACAGTCGAAACACCCCAGAGGTCTGGTGCTGGCGCCTACGCGCGAGCTGGCCATTCAGATTCACAAAGAATTGACCGGATTTGCGTCCGCGACATCGCTGCGGCTCGGCTGCATTTACGGCGGTGTGGGTCAGAATCCACAGGTTAAAATGATGCGTAACGGCTTAGACATTCTGATCGCAACCCCTGGACGCTTGTTAGATCTGATAGGGCAGCAGCACGTGAAGCTGGGCCATGTGGAACTTTTAGTCCTGGATGAAGCCGACCGCCTGCTTGATATGGGATTTATTCGCGACGTTAAAAAAATCGTCGCGGCAACGCCTCGAAAGCGTCAGTCGCTGTTGTTTTCTGCAACCATGCCGGACGCGGTGGCTGAACTTGCTGCTGAAATGCTGCACAAACCCGTGCGGGTTGAAGTTGCACCAAAACAAGTCACCGTTGAGAAAATTGACCAACGGGTAACTATGGTGGCAACCCCGGATAAGCTGGCTGCGATAGAGCACATCCTGCGTCGTGATGACGTTAAGAAAGCTATCGCTTTTACTCGCACGAAACATGGCGCGGATAAAGTGGCGCGTAAGTTACGTAATGCGGGTATCAATGCTGAAGCCATTCACGGCAACAAATCTCAGAACGCGCGTAACCGAGCGCTTGATGCGTTTAAAAACGGTGATGCCTGGGTGCTTGTCGCAACGGATATCGCTGCACGCGGTATTGATATTGATGGTGTGACTCATGTGGTTAACTTTGAATTACCTCATGAGCCGGAAAGTTACGTGCATCGAATTGGTCGCACCGGCAGAGCTGGCGCGGCAGGTAGTGCATGGTCTTTAGTTGATCCCAGCGAAGTGAAGCGTCTGCGCGCAGTTGAAAAACTGATCCGTATGCCGATCAATCAGGAAGATCTTGATATTGAAGTCACTGTACCTGTAGAGCGGATTGTTCAGCAGAATCAGAAGAGTAATCAGGAACAGGGACAGAAGCGCCGACGACCACGCCGTCGTCGAGCCAGTCGCGCTGCCGCTTAGATCTGCTCCGCTACGTCACTGCAACCGACGCCGCGCAACAGCTGCAACAAGGCCTGAGTCTGTTCAGGCCCGACGCGTCGGTTAGGCACAAACTGTGCGTGTTGTTTGTCGTCAGCGCCCTCATTTATGGTGATGCCCCATAACGGATTAATATCGTTGGGTACTGCGGCGTAACGGATGTCGATGATGAACCCGTGCGGTTCATAGGGTGCCAGATAATCATTTGAAAACCACCTGAACCTTTCTATGTCTCTGGCCTGTTGACTGGTCGGGGCAAGCTCGGGGTAGTGATATCCGACATTGAGTTTGTCGATAAAGCTGCCTTCGCACCACTGTCTTTTAGTCGTCACACGTACCGCATCGACATAGTACCTGCCTTCGAACTCGTACACTGACTTCCACAAAATGAGATTGGCAAAGCCGGGCTTCACTTCCAATCGGCCGGGCACATGACCTTTAGCCAATGCCATTTCATAGGCTACATCGCGCGCCCGCTCATGTTGCCAGACGCCGAATGATAAATACGCCAAAGCCCAGACCATGCCAACGGTGGCTATCTGTGGTCGCCGCTTGCGCAGCGAAACAACCACGCAGATCAGTAGTGGTAGAGTGAATAGTGGATCGACCACTGATACGTTATTCCACGCAACCCGCATATCACTGAAGGGCCACAATAACTGTGTGCCGTAAGTGGTACAGGAATCTAACAAAGCATGTGTGGCGTAACCCAGAAAAGCTGCAATGTAGGCTTGCCTGAATGTGAGCGGGTGGCGCCAGAGCTTGAAGAGAACGCCTGCAACAATCAGTGCGCCAATGGGGATAAAGATCAGGGCGTGAGTAAAATGACGGTGGTATTCGAGAAACAGCAGCGGATCAGTGCTGGAATTGATGAATACATCCAGGTCTGGCGCCATACCCGCCAGGCCACCAAACACGGCAAAGGCCCGCAGATATTCCGGTTTTGATGCGCTTTGCGCAAGCGCAGCGCCAATGGCGCCTTGGCTGACGGGATCCAATAGAGGTGGTTAGCTGATGAACAGCCCACCGTTCGGGTACAACGTGCTGCCGGTGGTGTAGCTGGATTCATCACAGGCCAGGTACAGGGCGCAATTGGCCATTTCCAGTGGTGTACCGAGACGCCCCATCGGGGTCATGCCGATCATCATTTGAGCACCTTCTGGATCTGCCTGCATACCCTGGGTCATCGGTGTTTCAATAAAGCCTGGGCCAATCGCATTGACGCGTATGTTGTGTTCCAGCATCTCCATGGCAAACGCGTTGGTCAACATGGCGACGCCGGCTTTGGATACACAGTAGTCAACAGCGCCAGGCAAAGCCACGCGTGCGGCGCTGGATGCAATATTCACAATACTGCCCGGATTACCTTTGGCGATCATATGTCGAGCGGCGTATTTGTTGGTCAGCATGACGCCAGTCAGATTAATCTGTAGAACGCGGTTCCAGTGCTCCAGCGGCTGTTCGATCATCATATGGTCGAGCGATTCATTGTCGCCGCCGCTGATGTAGTTGGCGCCGGAAACACCGGCGGCTGCCACAACCACATCGATGTGACCAAACTCGTCGATGGCCTGCTGCATCAGATCTTCAATTTGCTCTGCAAAACAGACATCCGCCTCCACCCAGGTGACGCGCCCGTTGGTGGTGTTACGTATTTCCTGGGCAGCTTCTTCTAAGCGGGTGGCGCCGATGTCGCTGATGACAATTTCCGCACCTTCTTCGGCAAAACGCAAAGCACAGGCTTTGCCGATGCCGCTTGCGCCGCCGGTTATAACAGCCACTTTATTTTCTAATCGGCCTACAGCCATGGTCCACCTCCTGAAATCGGAGCAGTAGGTTAAGCGCTTTGATACAGGGAGTCGAGACTTGGCTTGTACGGCTGCTCGGGTTGCTTGCCGGAGGTTGATGGCGGCGTATACTCGTTGACAGCGAACTTTCAGGGGATAGAAAGCGATGTCAGAGACAACTTTTCAGGTAGAACCGCTGGCAGCCAGTTTTGGAGCGAAGATTACGGGGGTCACGCTGGCTGATCTGGATCAAGCTGATTTTGATGCGCTCTACCGGGTCTGGCTGGACTATGCCTTGCTCATTTTCCCTGATCAGCATTTAAGTAATGAAGCACAGACAGCCTTTGCAAAACGCTTCGGTAACCTGGAATTTGATCTGGTGCCAATCAGTAACGTGCGCAAGGATGGAAGCGTGCGTCATGACGATAAAGATGACGTGGTGAAAATTTTGAAAGGCAACATGGGTTGGCACCACGACAGCACCTATATGCCGGTGCAGGCAAAAGGCGCCGTGTTCACCGCGCATACCGTACCCAGCCAGGGCGGGGAAACCGGTTGGGCGGATATGACGGCCGCTTATGAGGCGCTGACTGAGGATATGAAAATTCGCATCGCCGGGCTTTCTGCCCGCCATTCGCTTTACTACAGCCAGCAGAAAATGGGGTTCAAACCCAAAGAAGATGGCAGCTATAGCGGTTATGGGTTTCATGACGATTCGCCGCCGTTGCGACCGCTTGTTAAGGTTCACCCGGAAACCGGTCGCCGGAGCCTGCTCATCGGGCGTCATGCCTACGGTATACCGGGGTTATCCGAGCAGGATTCTGAAGCTTTGCTGGATGAGTTGAACACGTTTGCCTGCCAGCCACCTCGGGTATACCACCACCACTGGCAGGTCGGGGATGCTGTGCTGTGGGATAATCGTTGCCTGATGCATCAGGCCACCCCCTGGCCGATGCATGAACCGCGGGTGATGTACCACGCACGTATCGCTGGAGATGAACACTCCGAGTTTGCTGCCTCTGCATGATAGTGGCCTTTTTTTGCGTTCAGCGATGCACTGCAACCTTTTACGCGCCTCACGCATCTAAACAGCTGTAAGTCTGGGCCAAACTAAATGGCCGGGACTTGCGACCTGAGAAACGATAACAATGATAATTACCGGGACCTGCCGTGCTTAAGATCAACGCCTTGAACAAGACCTACGCCAACGGTGTGCAGGCCCTGAATGATGTTTCGCTTGAGGTGGACAGCGGCATGTTTGGCCTGCTCGGACCGAACGGTGCAGGCAAATCTTCGTTGATGCGTACCATTGCAACGCTACAGACCGGTGATTCCGGCTCTGTGACTTTTGATGGCGTTGATATTGCCGGGCAACCCGAACAGCTGCGTCGCAAACTGGGTTATCTGCCGCAGGAGTTTGGCGTATACCCGCGCATGTCACCACTGACCTTTCTTGATCACATTGCAGTGATGAAAGGGGTGGCGGATCGAGCCGAACGCAAACACCTGGTAGAACAGTTACTTGTACAAACCAATTTGTGGGATGTACGCAAAAAAAGTATGACAACCTTTTCCGGTGGCATGAAACAACGCATGGGCATCGCTCAGGCGCTGATCGGTAGTCCTGAACTGGTTATTGTTGATGAGCCTACCGCCGGCCTTGATCCCGTTGAACGGCGACGTTTTCATAATCTGTTAGCCAGTATCGGTGACGATGTGGTGGTGATTCTGTCTACCCACATTGTCGAAGATGTAGCGGATTTATGTACCCGCATGGCCATTATGGCGGGTGGCAGCATCCTGCTGACTGGTGAGCCGCAGCAGTTGATCACAAAGCTGGAAGGGCGCTTGTGGCGGGTGGTGGTCGCCAGTACGGAAGTTGATCGTATTCGCAGTGAAATGGAAATTCTAACGACACGCCGCATCGCTGGCAGAACAGAAGTCAAAGTCATTGGTGACACACCGCCGGTGGGGTTTGAGCCGGCGCAACCTAATCTGGAAGACGTTTACTTCGCCACCCTGCGGGATGCGGGCGAAAGCGTAGATGTAGACTGATCCGGTTATGTTAGACGTCTTCAAATTTGAGTGTCGCTATCAGCTGCGCTCGCCACTGTTTCTGGTTTTGTCCGTCGCATTTTTTCTGTTTGCCTTTCTGTTAATGGCTTCAGAAAATGTCAGCCTGGGTGGGGTCTCCCGCAGCCTTAACCTGAATGCGGCCTGGACCGTTGTTTATACCCAGTTTTTCTTCAGCATTATCGGTATGTTTGGCGCGGTTGCCATCGTTTCCCAGGCCATCACTCGAGATTATGAATTCCGCACTGCGGAAATCTTCTTTACCACTGGCGTATCTCCTCGTGGCTTTCTGTTAGGTCGTTTTTTCGGCGCTTTCATCTTTGCGGTAGGCGTCTGTATGGCGGCCATGTTGGGTACTTTGTTAGCCTCTCTGGCGCCCTGGTTAGATCCCGAGCGTGTGGGTGCTTTCAGCATTGCACCGTATCTGTATGCGCTGGGTGTGGTTACCATTCCTAACATCTTTTTCTCCAGCGCACTGTTCTTCACCCTGGCGGCTCTGACCCGATCCATGCTGGCCGCCTTCATTGGTGCAGTAGCCTTTATTGTCCTTAATATTGTCATTGGCAACCTTGTGGATCCTGAGCAGGTGGATCTGCTGGCGATGATCGATCCGTTCGGTCAGAGCGCCTTCAGCGATGTCTCTCGATATTGGACGGTGTTCGAGCGCAACGTCGACCTGGTGCCGTTGAGCGGAAATCTGCTGATCAACCGCGTTGTATGGATGTCGCTGGGCGTTTTGGCGCTGCTGTTTACGACCTGGCGCTATGGCTTCAGCCTTGACCCGAGTGTGTTACGTCGCAAATCCAAACGCGCGCGTAAAACGACACCCCAACCTGCGCTGGCAGCAAGGTCTGTTCAGCAGGTTTTTAATGCCACCACACCCTGGCGGCAGTTTTTTTCGCAGGTGTCTATTGACCTCAGTGGCATCTATCGGAGCGTGCCTTTCTACGCGATTCTGGGTTTCGCCCTTTTGAATGTGTGGGGTGGTTTCGAAAGCGTTGGCCGCTTTGTTGGCACGCCTTTACTGCCTGTCACCAGTGGCTTGTTGCGCGCGATTGGTGGGAGCTACACTTTTTTCATTCTGCTGATCGTCATTTATTACGCAGGCGAAATTGTGCATCGAGAGCGGCAGGCGAAAATAGCCGACGTGCTGGATGCAACACCCTTTCCCAATGTGGTGATGGTGGCAAGTAAGATATTTACGCTGTGGTTTATGGTGGCTTGTTTGCTGCTGCTGGCGATGTTAGCCGGTATGATTTACCAGGCGGCGCAAGGCTATACACATTTCGAAATACCCCTGTATCTGCAGTCGCTGCTGTTTGTGCAGGGTGGTGGCTTCTTCATGTTGTCTGTGTTGGCGGTTTTTATTCAGGTCATAGCCGGTAATAAATATATCGGCATGGTGGCCATGCTTACTGTTTTCTTTGCCTTTCAGGTATTGCCGAGCCTGGATTTTCAGCACGGCTTGTACCTTTTCAGCACGCCGCCTGCGCCACATTCTGATATGAACGGCTTTGGTCACTTCTGGCAGCCCCTGGTCGCATTTACCGCCTATTGGAGCGCCTTCTGTCTGGTGCTGGCTATTCTCGCCCACCTGCTGTTTCAGCGCGGTGTGACAGATCAGTTGAAGCAGCGCATAGCACTCATCCCCGTCCGTTTCACCCCGCTTACCGGGCTGGCATTGGCGTTTGCGATTGTGGCTTTTACTGGCACCGGGGGTTGGATTTTTTACAACACAAACGTGCTCAATACCTACATCACCACGGATGAACTTGAAGCACGCCAGGCGGAGTATGAGAAAACCTACAAAGGACGCGAGTTAGATCTACGTCCAGAGATGCTGTCTGTAGACAGTACAGTTGATCTTTATCCAGAAGAGCGGCGTCTGGAAAGTAAAGGCATCGCGCAGCTTGCGAACACCCATGATGTTGAGATCAGTGAGGTCATGGTATCCACCCATCCATTTATTCATGTCAACGCACTGCTGATCAGTGGCGCCCAACGTGTTGAGCATCGGGAAGCATCGGGTACACATATTTTTCGCTTTGATCAGCCACTGGCACCCGGTGGTCAAGCCGAAATGAGCTGGGACATGACCTGGGATCATGAAGGCTTTGCCAATATAAACGAACTGGCCGTGAGCGGCGGGTCCAGCACCCGTGTTGTGGCGAACGGCACGTTTGTGAACAACTTCGAGATAATGCCAAGTCTGGGTTACAACCGCGGTGTTGAGATTGGCGACCCGGCCACCCGCCGGGAATATGATTTACCGCCGATCCAGCGGCTGCCGGAACTGGGCGATCCACAAACACTGAACCTGTCGCAGTTTTCCGTGGCCCGTCGTACCGAGTTTCGCACCCAGTTCAGCACGTCAGCTGATCAGATTGCGGTTGCTCCGGGTTATCAGGTTGGCGACGTGATTGAGCGTGACGGCCGCAGAATCTACACCTATGAAATGGATGCACCCATCTGGCCGTTTTTCTCCTTCCTGTCTGCGCGCTATAAAGTGGCCAGCGATACTCACAACGGCATAGCGATCGAGGTCTACCACCATCCCGCTCACACTTTTAACATCGAGCCGATGATTCGAGGCACAAAGAAGGCGTTAGATTACTTTGGCAGGGAGTTTTCCCCTTATCAATATCGCCAGTTCCGAATATTGGAATTTCCGCGCTATGCAAGTTTTGCGCAGGCGTTTCCGAACACCATTCCATTCAGTGAAGCCATAGGCTTTGTTGCGGATTTAACTGATCCGCATGCGTTGGACCCCGTATTTTACGTCACCGCCCATGAGCTGGCTCACCAGTGGTGGGCGCATCAGGTTGTTGGCGCGGCGCAGCAGGGGATGACGGTTATTGTTGAGACCCTGGCCCAGTATTCCGCCTTAATGGTCATGGAACATGAGTACGGGGAAGACAAAATGCGCCGCTTCCTGCGTTATGAACTGG